TTCATGAGGTTGGATCCCCTTATGACCAAGAGAATGTTGAATCCTTCATTTCCCTTCCTATACGCAGTGTCTCCTACGACTGCACCTGAAAATATTCAAGACCACTCTCATGGTCATTATGAATTCTCTCAAGAAATGTTGTTACAACTCACATCTTTTCTACAGATTCCCATTTGAGAAATGGCTTTTTTATCCAACCTGCCTTATCTGCTCAAAACCACTATTATCTCTTGCTGTTGTACTATTTATATATTTGCCACTATTATTTAAGCTAAAAATATTTTTATCGATAATACTGTTTATTGTTCAGGAACCTTGTAGATTCTGGGTACCTAAGTTGTATAAAGCAGATTACTTTTATTTACTCATATTAATCCTGCGGCATTGTTCCCCCGGACTGTCTCTCTGGGCAGCGTACAAAAGTCAAATTCTCAATACTTTAGGGAGTATGGAGCTAAATGCACGATAATTTACATAAGTTTAGATTTGCAACTTTGTAACTCTTGGCTCCCTGTTCTCAGAGGGTTATGTTTAGCAGTTCTTCCCATTCTAGGAATTCATGAGCTACCAACGATCTGCTTTTACTAGGTCAAAATCATTCATTTGACTTTGCTTGCTTGGTAGAAAAGCCTTCACAGAAAGCTGCCAAACAATAAAATACACACTGTTCTGAGTGTGTTATGTGCTTCTTTTCCCTGGCTCCTTAGACTATTAAATAGTCCATCAACAATCTTTAGAAATGAAGTGGCTGTGCTACAGTGCCAGCTATTTACTATTTTCATAATGACATAAAAGAAATGCTACCTAGCTGCCTTAAAACCAATTTGGTCTATGCACCACATCTGGCCATGTTGTAATTCAATCCATCTTGCATGACCATCTTGACATCCAATGGGGTGAAGCACAGACAGATTTGGCAAATGAAAAATTTAGGATTAACCACACAGAAGTACTGCCAGGATTTCCCTTACCTTGATGATATTGGTTGATATTCAAACTATATTGGTTGATATTCAAACTATATCCAGACAGCGCTCAGATTTAGGTTTCCTTTATACTATAAAGCTACAGCCATTTCCTCCTTTGTCAACTTAGGGCGAAATCCACCCTTCTGAAGCAAAACAGAACACCATGACTGAACCTTGGTGTAGCTACTACTACCAGTGACCAGAAAACAGCTCTAGATGCAATAATATTAGCTATAAAGTTTCCTTATTTATGTATTCAGACAAATTTCGTTACGGTTCAGAGGTTGAGTTAATTTTCTTATTATTATTTTTTATTTTTTTTTAAAGAGGGGAAAAGCTCTGATCTCTAGCAGCAGGGATTGTTCTTGCATCTTAGAGCATAATGAACAGTTTTGAATTTGCCGAAATACAATGATCAAGTTTAACAGTATTAATTTACCAGATGCACTTCACTCACAAACAAGTCTTCTGAGACCATGCTACCATCTGCATTATGTTTTTCTTGATCTCTGACACATTTTCTAGTTCAACTAATAAATTATAACAGAAATGTGATGAGAGTAGTCTGTGATGTCCTCCCCCCTTATTTTTACCTGGCACTTTTGACTTGGTGCGAGTCTGCATCTCTCTAGCTTCTACCTATTTCAGGTGTCACTCCATTTTCATCCCTGAACTCCAAGTCTACATGCAAACATTTGAAAGATATTAATTTTTGTTTAATTAGGTGATCTGGAAGCATACACGCTCAGTTTCTGTGACCACAAGAGTTAGGCCAACTGTGTTACTATGACACTTGTAATAATTTACAGTTACAGGAGGAACTATAAGTCACATAAATTCACATTGAAAGAAAATATTACTGTGACAATAGGAATGAAACAATTACCAGAAAAGGAATTTAAAAAGAGGTGCTTCCTATCTGAGTGTAACATTCCATATACCTGAGAGCTGAGTAGCAAGGGACCTACATCATGTTTCCTCAAAGGAAACACTTGGATATGGTTCCCAATGAGAACAAACAAAATGCATATAGTTTAAGAGAAGTCAAATGAAAATGGCTACAAAAAGAGAAAAGGGGTGTTTTCAGTCCACTTATTTAGGAGGCCTGGGAAATATTTTTGGTGATATGGTGAATATTCACAGTAACTGTTATTAGCCAACCATCACAGACTGCCAGAAACTCGAGTGCAAGTGATATTAATTTTAAAATCTCGGTCTGTGAGAAGTTGTCTAATGAGAACCTTAACACAAGGGTGGAGAAAAGATTAATTTACTGTCAGTGCTCAAGGATGATGTACAACATCTGTGAATACTTAAAAAATAAGTTAGATTTAATGAGCAATGCCACAAGCTCAATAAGAAGGTACAGAACGACCCCAAATTATTTAACATCAGCAATTAGTGAACGAAAAGTGACCTTTTTAACGTATTAAGCAATAAACTGTTATCTTCTAATTATTATTTCCTACAAGGAAAATAAGCCTTTAATCACTTGACACAATTTTATTCTGCTTTACAAAGTATTTGAGAGTTTTAGCAGCATGGCTGAGCTCCTGATTTGGAATAAATTCATCTAAATTAGCCTTGCAATAAATCTAACACGACCAGCAAACAAAGGCACAATTCTTATGCACATAATGCTGATAATACTCTTTAAATATTACTTGCTACAAAATATATTTCAGTGATAGATATACGCTTTCAGATACTGAAATATATTATGTCATGCTGTTCTATAAGCTTAAGACAAATACAACAGACCAAGGTTCAGTGTTGCTGCTGCTGTAAACAACATGCTATGTACAAATTATTTTTCCTCTTTAAATATCAAGCCAGCAGCTGTCTGTTCCTTTATTTATTTATTTTTAAATTGCAGATTGGTTTCCATATTTAAGTTTTGCAGGTCTGCAAACAAACTCAGCAGTATATAATGGCACAAACTGAAAGAACAAAAATGGTAGGCTGCTCATCCTTATACTTTATTTCTAGAAATGTTAATTAGAAGCTTTCCATCTGACAGACAACTACTTAAGGAAACAAACTATTAATTTACTGAAAGGGGGCAAAAAGGCCAAAAAAAAAAAAAAAAAGCAAATGCATACTATATTTTTTAATTCCTCAAGCCTTACTCTTAGCACTGCCATAACTGTGGCACACACAGGAGGATATGTTTAGATATTTATCTTTTTAAACACGGACAAAAGTGTATTGATGCAGACTACTTTGATTTGAATATATAATAAATCAAAGACTTATGTTTGAAAGAGTGCATGAAGCCATTATCCCTGCTATTTCCACAGTATACTAATGCCTCTCCATATTAAAACAGATGTTTGTCTTTTTTTTTCCTCAAATACATGACAAAGTAAGAATTTAATTTCATTCCAGTTAAATCTGCTCCTAAACTAGGATATTCTGGGAGGAAACAACATCAAATTTACAAGTATGTCTGATTAAGCCAGTTGAGAAAATTACTCTTGAACTTCTACAATGTAATGCGGCAGGAAACTCATCAAAGCCAGCAGTAACAAGACTATCGTGGCTTAAAACTGTAAGGCTTTCATGAGGTAGGGGATAATGAAATACTTATAAAGCAGTATCTTCCACTGTCTCTTCAGCTGTTTTCAGTCACAGCCCTATGTTTTCCTTGTAGCTTGCTTTAATAGTAACTATTAATGTGAAATGTGCAAGAACATGAATAGGAAGGAATAATAAAATGGGGGTTGGGAACCAACACAGCAAAAAAAATATTTCTTCAGTGGTCATTCATTATATGTTGTATGTCTGTGACTAAATGGAATAATTTAGGAGGTTTTTAATTAAAAAGTACATCATTCTACTATAATAATTACAACGGTCAGTTATTTCTTACTCTTTGTGTGGAATGCCTCAATGCAGAATGACGTTCATTCATGATGGAAGATGAAAATGATGAAACAGTCTACAGTAGAATAGAAAATCCCAACCCTTGTTTTCCCCTTAGTAGCAAATTTGCTATATCCATTCCTTACTAGAATTCTGTTACCTTCGCACTAAAGATATCCAACAGCCCATGAGACCAATAATATGAGCACCACATCCTTTTTCCTCACAAAAACAAGATGAAAACAACTGATAAGGAAAAATTTCCAGCTACTGCACCTGCTCATATTCTACAAAGGCTTTTTTTTTCCCCTTGCTCTGTGTGAAAGACCTGCACAATTAACAGGATAGACTACATGAGTCACAAACTTACATGTGGGAAACTGGCAAATATATACAAAACAGTTGTCAAGCACAGAGTAAACACAGAAGAAAAATCAGAGGAAAAAAATATTTCCACTAATCTTTCAGTAAAAACAACTCTTGAAGGTTTATTATAATCTGTGAGACAGCTTAAGAAAAAGAATCAAGGCTATGTAGTTTACACTTTTCAGTGTGAAAGCACTGGCTGGAACACTGAGTACATTTGATCTCTAACACAGCAACAAAACCCACTGATGTAATTGTAGAATAAGCCCTAGAGCAGAAAACTCTAAGCAAGGCGAATTTTATCATTAGTTCAACACTTCTCCTAGGACTTAAGCCTCTTCTATCCCTCCTATAGAGGATTTTCTCCTCTCCTAAGTAGCCTAGCAAGGAACTCTGAAGTTCTTCAATACTTTTGTGTGGCTTTTAGATTGCCCTCCTCAAACTGTTATAACTTACTGTATAAATGGAGCTAATTTACAGAATCCTGAAACAAGCAGTCTCACCATGTTTTATTTACTGGTACTTATAAAGCTTCCTAGGAAAGAAATGGGTACATATTAAGTTCTCTGCAAGTAAATTAAAAAAAAAAAAACACACTAAAGTTATTAAGATCTGCTCAGTTGTTATATTCAGAGGATAGTTATCAGCATGAGTCCACTTGCAGTTTATAGTATGTAATCCACATGATTTTTAAATGCACACATTTCTTTTGCTTTGACTCACCAAAAAGCAACTTTGTTCTGAAGCAGCTGCATATCCTCAAATAAACATGACTACAAGAACAAGACTGCATAGAAGCCATCTGATTTCAATTTTCTTTATATTTGTTATAGAAAAAGAGTTTACCCATTCCAGTCCAATAGTTTAAATGAAGATGTACATTTGAAGTACCATACAGAAATGTTCCCAGCAGACACAATTTTAAATTCTCATTACATTTATTACATAATGTAGAATATACTTTGGTACACTACTTGTTGCTGCTATTCTATCAGAAGTCAAACTACCAAATTTATTTCCTTGTCTACAAGGCAGCAAAAACTTTTAAATAAAAATTCAATATGGTCAATCTACTTTTCCAGGGTTGCATAAATCTTCAATGAAGCATTGACATACTGGAGAAAAGGAACTCAAGCAGTTCTCAGGGTAAATATAGTAATTAAAACAAACTTCACTAGATTTCAAGGCAAAAAAAAGAAATTCACTATTTGACCTTTATATAAATAAATGCAGATTTCTTGCATTATTTTGGTTGATTCTGTACAAGTTTCAGTGATTAATTTTATTTAAATACAAGTCTTACAACAATTTAATCCAGGATCTCAATGAAGATGAGAAGGTTGACAGTTCTAATATAGAACTTGCACAACAGTTATCTTTTAACACTGACTAAACATGGAATGGCATATAAAAAGGTTTAGAAATTACACATTTTAAAATGAAGATGTTTTACCTCAGATTCACCACTTTTGCAAGATAATTTGTATCCTTTAGTATGCAACTTCATCCTTTACCTGCCAACAATGTGTACAAGTTATCACAGCAAAATTTACAGAATAATTGACTTTGGCCTTGGTCTTACAAAGACCTATTTACACATTTGGGATAAGTAAGCATGTTCTTCCCTTTAAATTTTATACATATCTTCAAGCTTTAAGCCTGTATTTGAATCTACAAATTCCAGCAAGATAAAAAGTCTGTCAAATATACATCTTAAGAGCATTAAAGTACAGTGTCTTTATATATATGAATCTATCCTTTGCTATATTATCCACTCTTCATCACACAGACACCACTAGAAATGAAGCACTCACCTCCACAGTTAACTCCTTGGTGCTGATGAGTTTGACTACTGAAAGCAGTTGTTAGGCTTGGGGAAAAACCTCTAATCTTTGTGCAAAGATTAATATGCCTTAAATGCCCCCAAACATGATCAATATTGTAAGTAAGAGATACATATCTTAATGTAACTAAGTGTAAGAAATTGTGTAGCGTGGGGGGGGAACTGCAGTTACTCAGTAACCACATTCCCATATATTCACTGCCTCGCTGTTTGGAGTTCATATGATTCATTCAGCACCTCAAATAAGATGAGTTTTGGCTAGGCGTTTTTATTTATTCATTTTTAATTCTGGTTCTTGAAGGTCCACTGCCAATGGCAGATTATTTTAATGGAAAAATGGATCTCAACACCCAAAAAGTAATGCTTTCTATATACAGGTAACTGAAATGACTCAGAGTGTAACTAAGGGTTAAAAATCCTTCAATTTATCTTGTGGCAGTCTAGCAACAAAATCTAACCCCTACTCAAAATGAATACCTGCTACCAAGAACGCAGCTCCTTCAATTTCCAAAGCACTGGTTAGTTTGTAGTTAAAAGAAAGAAAAACAAGACAATTGCAAACAACTAAACGACTTTTTACAGAAGGCCTCACTGTGGTAAATTATATACAGCATAGTGTTCTCATTTTCCTTAAAGTGCTATCATCATATTGATTCAAAATCATCTATTGTTTCAGGAGGTCTTTCAGTACAGCACCAGCACTGGCATCAGGGGACACTGGCAGTGGCGTAAAAGTAGGCAAGGCATCAGAGATAGGTTTCATAAGCAGGTGTCCAGAACTAGTAGCAGGAGTTATGAGAGGCACTGCTGCAGATCGAGGTGCTAGAAATGGATTTGCATCTGGTCTTCTGCTGATTCCTGAGACTGCAGAATCTGAAATGTAAAACAAACAAAAAAGCCATCAATTCATTAGAAAGTTTTAATAAGCCTACCCAATTTCAGAGCACTTGCCATGAAACAAATTTTACAACTGCATATTAGTTTTGCAAACATGGAAATCTTATCTTCTTTCTGTGCACTGCAGATGATCTCATATACTTATTTCTCTCTCTCTTTTCTCACCTTGAATCACATCTGCCATGGCTTCTTTTGCTCACCATTCCCTACATCTACACTTCAGGTCACAAGTTACACCAAGGCACTTCCAGGACCTGTGCTTGTTGGCAGCTGAAATTTTGCAGCACCTCATGCTATGCAAAAGAAAACCAAGACACTTGCTCTGTGAAAAGGAACACAAACACCCTGTGCAGAGGGGTTCCCTTCACCCATGCAAAACCAGACACGGAGTATCTGTCACATTGGCTCCAGCACTATGCCAAGACATAAGGGCCCTTGTATGTGCACTACAACGCAGCATGCAGGTTGGTTCCCCACTCCGTGTGTACAGGGGAAGCTGCCCCAGGGTCACGTTGAAGCAAGAACTTAATCTATCATTACAAGGGCTAAATCACACATGAGTCTTGACATATCTTTGTTATCTTATTTGTCAAAACGTCACTTTCATTATCTTTGTTCCTAAATGATTTTAATCTAACAATCAACTTGCCCCTTCTCACCTTCCCCCATCAAAATCCTATCTTCCAGATGTAACCTGTTCTCAAGATTCCTACATCAGACATACAGCAGAAATTGAACTGAAATTCCTTTGTCATAATGAATAGTTGGATGAGTGACTTTATTCAGATTTTTTGTTTTAAGAGATCTACAATCATATAAACATCATAACTCCCATAAATGTGTTTGTGTGTAGATACTTAAAGCCACTACCATATGGTTTATTTCCAGGAACCAAAAACTTAAAACACATCAACAAGCCAGAAGGTTTGGCTCATATAGGTAAAATACAAGTACTTCTATAGCTTAAAAGCATACTTTACCAATTGTACTCTTAAACTACAAGGAAGAAGAGTAAAAAGAAAATTAAATTAAATTTTGGTTTATTAGAAAAGTAAACACTGCTTTCAGAGATAAATTGGTACTTCAAAGTAGATGTTTATCCTTTGTAACATCCAACTACTTTATGTGAAATAAAATGTATTTTCAAAGCATATATATATATATATATATATGCTTTGACAATACATATATATGTATTTTATATAATAAACATATAGGTTTGGGGATACATGTCATGCATCATTCACTCCCCCCCATGAGTACAGCTGTTACAAGGTTCAAGCAAAAAAAGCTTCTGCAAATCAGCAGGACTGTATTAAAGTCCAGAATGCACGTGAAAAATTCAGCACAACCTGGTCCATTTCAACTGATTATTTAAATCCTATATTACTTATATAAAGTACACAGTTCCTTATAGAATCAGAATGAGAGCCAAAAACTATAAATTTTACCATGCAAAATAAAGACATAACTGCTCTCAGCCTCAGAAAAATTAAAGTTAAGGACTCATGCACAGCTTACAAAGATTTCAAATCACGCCAGGTACTTAGCTGATTTTACTTCAGTTCTCTCTGAGTGACCAGGTTCTACATATGCGAGAGGCACTACAAGGCTGGTATTACTTGCATTTTTCACTCAGTGAGACCCAAGCTGATCAACAGGGATGCTGAAAATCAGGGCTGGGTTCACCACTACAACATATGAAGTTGTCTGTTTAGCTTTAAAAGGTGCTGTTAAAGCTTTCCGTATCAAAGGGAATTTGATCCTTCCAGTGTTCTGTATTAGGTTTTTAGGAAATGGGGTATGGTGTGAAGAGAGAGGTGGGCCAGGGCAGGAAAAAAAGAGAGAAAAAGAAGAGAGAGAGTAGAACATTGTGGGGGAAGGCACAATGGAAAAAAAAATAAAAATCATACTTCACAGATGAGGAATCACGGAAACATTTAAGTCCTCTCAAAAACTCTATGTTTAATTATTTATATCTGTGTAAAGTTTCAATATTTCTTTAGATCTTACCTTGTATCTGACTGCTGGATGGAACGCTGCCACCTTTACCAGTTCCTGCTGCGCCTAAAGGTTTTATATCATGAACAGAGAGCTTGGGTGGAGGAAGGCTTGGGCAAGATTCTGTTTCAAGGAATTTCACAAACAATTCTGAAAAAGACTACAAGATGGTACAAGTTATATTTTACATGCTTTTCAACAGAACTTAAGTTAAAAATAACTTAAAATAAATTAAAAAAAAAAAAAAGCTGTCAGCAGGCTCCAAAGAACTCTGTACTGGTATTTAAAGTACTACTTTGTGAGGGACAACGTAAATTATTTTCAAAATACAAAGTTTTAGTTGTCTCAGTGAATGGCATTTATGTGAAATTCATACACTCTAAAGATAACACATACACTTCCACCATGGTTCCATTATTGATTTAGGTCAATTGTTTCAAGAAACTTATGATGCTACAGACATCACAAGTACTTCCTGTGTCCACACTCAAGCAAATCACTCCTCCAACAATGCTTTCATTTGACAAAACATCTTGATTTAAAAAAAAAATAAAAATGAAATTTAAAGGATAAATGGGAACATTGTCATCAAAATATGATACTACAGTATATAGTCCATACTGGAAGAAGTCATTGATCCCAGGAGCCAGCAGGAACAGTAATCAGTTTTGTATTAGCTCAACGCTTATGACTGTGCAATTTTCTTCAAGGCCTACATATTTATTTAGGTGGTGGTGGTAGTGAGGGAACAACATGCCAAAGCTGCACAAAGCAAATAAATAATGGAAGATACAGTAGGATCGGTACATTAAGCTCAATATACTTAGGAACCAAACTTCAGTACTAATACGCAACTGCTCCAGTTCTTTACTCAAACATAGAGAGTACATGATTGATTCTTACACTATTAAAAACATTCTGATGAGTTGGCCTTAAAGGTGTATTAGGGACACTCTTTGACCCAGTTCCTCCACCAAGCCAGCCAGTCACCCATCTTGTAACTCCTCTTTGTTCTTCAGATAGTAACTAGAAGGTTTAAAAAAATAATAAATAAATAAATTAGGAAACAAAAAATAAAGCAGCAGATAAAAAACTGCAACAACTGTTCTCATTTTATGTTTATCCACTACAAATGATGTGGGAATCCCACAGAATCCTACAGATAAATAAAACCTTCAATTACTATCAAAACCTTATTCTCTCCCTCCTGAAAACTGGCAGTCTAAAATCCTAGCTCTTTGTGTAAAAATATAAAAGCCATATTCTTCACAATACCTAGTGGTATATATAAAACTGTCTTATTTTTCTTTAACCAACATATTACAGCTATTATGTGCAATACCACAAAGTTAAATCCTTTCCTTTCTGCATTAGTGTTCCTCGGGAAGACAAAATCTGTATTAAATACAGTTACCATGAGATTCCATTAAGAACAGTGTGTCCCACATTAAAACAAACAAACAAAAAAAAAAAAACACACTTCACCCCAGGAAGTACCAGGACAGTCACATTTAGTTTAGTAGCAAGTCATTCTATTTTCGGGTAAGCATACTGCAAATGAAGGAAGCCTAGTTTTCAGGAAGCATTACCTGATCAAGTTCTTCCTTTTTTATTCCCAAGATACTTCCCATTAACCTTAACACTTCATGACGTTTATTTTTTGGAGTATGAAAATGTCCAACAAAGAGATTTCTCATCAGGAGCCTGCAAAACAAAAGGAAGCTTGTTACACTGCCTGCTCTGAAGTAGCAGTTGGTAAGGAAACACTGATGCATTTATTCCTCTTACTTTTACCTAATTTACAATAACCCAAATAAACAAGCCAGTACAAAGAACTAAAAGGGAACCTCACAGATTTCTCTGCTCTCCAAGTTAAAACACTTTTTAAAACAAAGAGCTGCAATTTGGACAAAAGTAGAAATACTCTAAGGCAGTAAGGTGAAACTGAGTTGTACATTACCAGGTTTTGATGCAAGAGACACAATGCAGGAAAATAGTTTCTCAAATCTTGACTCAGAACCTTTAAGCAGATACTTATGTACAGACCGAAAATAAGACCTAAGAAGGGAGCAGGGGAACTTATTTGCCTATTCTAGGTTCAGATCTAACACAGGGAGAGAACAAAAAGACCAAGAGAGATCAAATTGCACAGCATCCAGGTGATGCCATTCACACCTTGGTTGCATTGTAACAGATGTTCACTAGAACTCTCCGTTTTCAGAGCTCATGCTATTGACGTGTAATTCCACTTAAACACATCAATAATATAAATTTATACACATTGGTTTTAATAATCAAGATTACTATTCACAATCACCAAACAATTGAAAAATGTAAAGATAACGAAAGCACATTACAAGCTTACATACAGAAGCTCAGTTCTGCACCACTCTTACAGCTGTTACATTATCTGCACATCACGCACAGTAACAGAAATCTACAATAACATAACAAGAGACTTACTTGTCCACTTTTCCTTCTGTGCTGTTGATGAGATTCATTAGTTTATTCTGTACATCTTCTAACATTTCTTTTCTGATCTCTCCTATAAAATGTTAGGTCAAAGCAAATAAATTTGCAGACTGCTTCAAAATGTATTGTTACAATACACACTTATCAAGATATGCTAACATATATATTTTTAGACAGCATCAACATGATTTCTTAGAAAAGTGTCAACTCAGTAAGTGATTATTACCTGAATTCATAAGCTAGAATTTCCAGAACAATACTCAAAGCTACAGTACAGAAACACCCAGAATAGAAATCAACCACATAAGGTCTGATGAGCTGCTCTGTTCCACCTAGATCACACAGAACTGGGAAGATGTTCTTGGTAAAAGTGTATATTCTATGGTGGCAATCCTTAATCCTTTTTATAACCTGATTATAAATTGTATGTTGTTATTGGGTCTTTGGATCTCAGTACTTAACCTCAAATACATTCCCTCTTGTCCAATTATTCCTTAGCACAAATTTCTCTACAATTTCTCTACAATTTCACTAACACAGATTATTTGATAGCTTAAATACAGGATACACCTGGTTACCCCGATAATTCTCTGTCAATAACTCAGGCTTCCCCTGACCTCCCACTAAACTCAAAAGGTAATTAAGAAAGAGATTCTCCTAAAGGTTTTACTTACTGGAAGCATTCTACAACATCCTGACTCTGAGGATACAAGACCCAAAGTTTTGTCTTTGTAAAATCTGGCTACGTTAGAAACTGGATAAAAATATCTGACATTCAGGTCTACACAAACTTACGCAGAAGCACAGAGTGAAAGCTGATAGGAAAAAAGCTATTCCCTAACACAGGATTTAAGTACACTAATAGCAAAATGTCCACAGACAAGAAAACAGATAGTTACAAGGTACAAAGAATTTTTTGAAGATAAACTTCAAAACAGCAAAAATATTTTTTTCACCAAACTCTGGTTCTGCAAGATGGTATCTTTGAAGTTACTTTTTCCTAATAAAAGCACAAGTCTTAATAACATACACAAGCCGAACAACATAATATGGACCCTCAATGTGAAGACAAACTTGTATAAGCTGCAGTTGTATGAGCTTTCTCCCCTCCCTTCATAATGCTGAATCCTTCAGATGTTTTCAAACCCTATGGAAAAGCTGCTGAATGACTTAATCTTCCTACTATTTCAAAACCTCTTGGGTTCATGTGGATTAAAAGTAAGTGCTTCATAGAAAAAGTATACTTTTATTGCATCTGTCTTATAGTTTATTCCTAAAAAGCCTCAACATCTTTGTAGAAATGAGTGAATACCTTATAGCTATTTAAAAGAATTCTATTTTTCTTGAGAGAATGTGGAGACAAGGGAAGATGAAAGGTGACTTTTAGGAATTTTTATAAGTTTCAGATCACCTGGGATGCATGAAAAACATTCCACTCTCATTTCCACGTGACATTCAATCTTCAATAAATGCATGCCATAGCTATGCTGACACAACATGGTTCTCAACACTAGAAACTCCATGAGAACCTGAATGGAGTTTTGGTATATATATACACAAAGAACTAGGCTGTGAAATGGATACAAATTAATTGTCCTATTCAAATACTCCAGAAATGAAAACAAACTCTTTACTTCACAAACATGACTTCTATAAAGAGTAGAACAAACCAGTGCCATGCTGGGAATGTTACTTAAAATTATGCTACTTTGTAATGTGGTTAAACAGGTCCCCAAAACTTGAATTAAAAAAGTTCCACTATGTTTATGGAATAACAGCAGTTGCAGGAACATACACGGAGTTTGAGTTGTTATTTGGGTCTCCAGAGAATTCAAAGGAATAAGAGTTAAATTACTAATACCAGTAACTTAACAACATGGCACCAGCACCAAAAAAACTCAGAAATGGCATCTGAAAAAAAGGTTTAAATAAATCTCATGATGTTGCTACTGCTTTATAGAGCAAGATAAGTGTTTTTTTTTTTTTCCCAATTTTATCTACAAAATTATTTTTTAAAAAAGCAATTAATAATTTTGAAGTGAAATGTTAATTCTAAGACTCTTCTATTTTTTTTTCCTGATTTTTTTTTTTTTTTTAATCGAAGAGTCTTTGGACAGTCGACTGTCTTTTAAGGACAGTTATATGGCTACATTCACCCACAGCGATTACACAACTCTAAATTAAATAGTTTTTAAATGGAATATTTCCTTCTAAAACAGCATCTTACAGTTGAAAAGGACTTAAACACGTACTTTCTGTGTGTGAAGAGACTGAATAACAAAAGACTTGAGCCAAAATTCAGCACGGGCTGCTGTAAACCAGACATTTACAGCAGTCTCCAATAATTTGTTAACCATTTATGGCAATCTAGAAAACTGCATCTGGTACATCTTATACTTTTCCATTAAAATCACTTCTCCTGCCAAAAAAATCCATAAAGAAATCCTTCAAAAGATTTGGCCAACAAAACTCTGTCTGGGAATGCATTTGGCCAATTTTCAATAAGACACTATATGTTTTCTTGTGTAAATACAGAAAATGGAGTGGTCTCTGTTTCAATAAAAATTATGATTTATTCTACAACAACATTAAAGGGCTGTTTCCTTTATACAACAATCCTGTTTCACATTTTTAAACAAGTAAATTGCTTGCCAATACAGCATGGTTTGATAGAATACTGAGACCCAATTTTCTCTCGCAGTTCAAACCCATTAACTTGTTACCCCCCTGCTTTAATTTAGTTTAGCTATCTAAATTAACCACTAGGGTTGAGCTACCCATTTAATGGTGCCTTATTTGCCTACGTCAGAATTATTTTCAATCCAGTGTATTTGAAAACTTCTACTGTGATGTCTTTAGCAAGACAGAGATATAAAGATCAGTCAATTAAATATAAATCTACTGATTTGGTACATGATTCATGCAGCAGCTTGAAATTTAATTAAAGTTGTAAAATTCACATGTGAACTCAGATCACTGCTATGATGCCCACTGGGATGCTGAACTGTACTTACACACAACATTTAAGTAAACGCCCTTTCAATTGTGTAGCATATAAGTAGTAACTTTATATAGAGTTCTTGGTGAAATTGCAACGGCTTTCAAATGACTTTTTACACTAATTACAAGACCACAAACAAGTCTCCTTTAAGAAAATGAAATATATTTCAAGAAAAAATGAATATCAATTAGTTGAATATGGGCAGAACAAAGAGTTACCACTACATCCAGCAGAGATGACTTTACAAGCACCTTCCCACAGCAAGCCTTAATTAAACTATTTTACCCCCGTATTTCCTACAGACATAGAGGGAAAAATATGTAGGTAAGAGCTGTTAAGTGACCTGCAAGTGAGCAAGCCTCTGCCCTTCAAACTCCCATTTGAGAGCCCCCTACAGGGAGCAATCAGAAGTTTTCCTCTGGCTTCAGATTAATCGCATGTATACAAGTGACAGCTGGACCCTACACTAACAGAGGATGCTGCAGTAACAGCAAACTGCAACGATCCACAGAAAGAGAGGAAAAGAGAAAGTAGGATTCAGCTACGAAAATGGAGTAGGAAAATGCAATAAACAAAGAAACTAGAAGGAAAACAATAAAGAAACAGCTAACTACTCCCTCGACAGTTGGTACTGTTAGTAAGTTCATCCTTATCAGAACTAGCATGGAACTAGACAGAGGTAACTTTCATTCTTGGTTCAAGGAAATATTCCAGACAGAAATACAGAGCAGGGCTGAAATTTATGTACAGAAATCCAGCAAAATTATTAGTTTTAAGTCCTGCATTACCAAACGCTACAACTCCTTTGTCATGAAAACTACAATTAATGCAGTAAGAAAAAACAGCTGTTATTTGTATACCTATTATATCGTCTCCAGTTGAGTCTGAGCTTATAAATCCTACGGACGTTTGGTATTCAAATACACTGTACAGAAATTACCCTTAACTTTTTTGATTAGAATAAAGTTTAAGGCCATAAAACAGAAATACGTTGAAATGGTATCAGTTTTTACTAATAGGTTGTTCTGCCTCTTTAGGCTTTTCTATACAGCTTTAACACTAGAGGTGTTTATAAAAGAGAAGACTATGTATCTATCATGGATTTTATGTTTAAGTGATTTCATCATTTTCTTTTTCCCTTTCATTCACAGAATCACAAAGCCACAGAATAATTTATGTTGGAAGGGACTTCTTCAGGTCACTAAGCCCAGCCCCTCAACTTAAGCAGTCAGAGAGAGTAGATTGTCCTGGATTGTGTGCAAGTGGGTTTTGAGTATCTCCATGGATGGACACACCTCTCTGAGCAACCTATTCCGTTGTTTGACCACCCTCGCTGTAAATATTCTTCCTTTACAAAACTGTTTCTCCTGGCAGAGTTCTTTACTGTCTGGCTAGGCTTTGTCTTCACATCCAAAGTAATGAAGCTCATCAAATGTTAGAGTACTTAATCTTGGAACAGTATGAAAGCATCTTTCTAAATATGAGCAGTTAGGAAGCTTATTTGAAATGAGATCTAAAAATACAATCTAAAGATGAGTCCAAGGCCTTCCATGTAATCTCTTCAGTCAGTCTCATACCTGTGCAAGAGCTGCTCTCTCTGCATCTCAACAGCATGCACTTTCTCTCTGCCTCAAAGTAACTCCCTCTATGTGAAATATGGTAGTTGTTTTGGAAAATGTGACAGCATTTCATATTTCACAAACTTTCTACAGAGACACTGAACTAAATCAATGGCTTTGGTGTCTAAAGAGAAGAAAACTAGAAAGCCTTCTCTTGAGAGAGATCACTAACAGAAGGAAAACACCTTTTTAAAAATTGTTTTATAAACTGAGTAAATGCTCAAAAGGTGGCACAGAATTACTCTCTTCCCTCATAAAGGACATTTTGGTAAATTTCTAAGAACGCTACATGTATATTGACTCCCCAGCTACTTGGAATATTTTAAGCAGAGAAAAAAAAAAGTTACCTTCTTTCTTAAGCTCTTCAATCTGCTCCTCTTTAACATCAAGTTGTTCAGTAAGCCTTGATGCTGCATCCAGTGCAGCATTTGCCTCTCCTAAACTTTCCTGAAGAGAGGGTAAGAAAAGGACAGAGAGAGAAGCATGAGTTCACTATCACGATTATTCCAATACAACATACATCAAACACAACAGACACAAAGGCTTCAATCACTTGTACTCTAAAATAATTGGACTGTAAACACCCTCAGAAATAGGATATTCAGAGATATGCTACCTTGCTGGCCCTTCTTTCAGTTTCATCTTGTTCCCAACTCCTCAACCAGAGAAGACAAAATAACTATGTAACTCTGTATACTCTGAAACAGTAACACTTAACACAATAGCTCAAAAAAAAAGTCAAAATTTGCATTAAATTTGTATTCAACTTTTAAATTTGTATTCAACCCACCTGCAGTGATACAACTTTTTCTTCTAAGTTCTCAGCTTTTTTTTTCCATTCTTCAGTCTGTTTTTGGTGTTTTTCTAACTCTGCTGAATACATGGCTTTTTCTTCTAATGGGTTAAAATACAAAAAGAAAAAAAAAAAAGATCTCAATTCATAATAAGTATATTTATTTTGGGGGATACACAACTGCAAAACATTAGCATTATCACGTCTGGTTTTCACAAAGTAGAGGTGGAATTCTAGTTTCATATATAGGATACTGACCATTGGTTTTCACAGGGCCAGAATTTTAATGAAGTTTTTTAAAAGACAAAAGCTTCTGAAATTTAAGCTACCAAATTGAAAACCAAGTAACTATATGCTTTTAAAAGTACCAAAATATAGTAACTATCCCATCTGAAAAACGCGTGTTGCAGTCTTTGGTACTTCTTGACAAAACTTACCCTGTTGGAATTGTTCTAGCACCATCTGCAGGTTGGCCAGTGACAACGCATACTGTTTCACTTGGTCCTGTGAGATGGTGAGCTGTAGCACAGTTTCATCTCTCTGCTTGGAAACCAAGTTTAATTGCTCTTGCAAAGATTCGACCTGCAGGCTAGCTTGATGACTTAATGAAAAAAAATTATTTACTGAGATAATGAAGAACGTCATCACAGATAAAAATTAAAACACATCAAAAATTAATCTACCTTTAATTTTCACTTAAATTTATAAAAATGAAAACATTTTTCCCCAAATTCCTCTCAAAACCAAAGTAACAAACAAACAACAACTAAAACACTAGCAACATATTTTAAATATGCCTGGAAATAAAATTTTGGCAATCCAAAAATAAGAACAAACTTCTGTTTGAAGTGCATTAGAAAAAGACAAAAATAATCTTTTAATCCATTTTTGGAAAAGTATGTTTAACAACAACAAAAAAAAACAAGAAACCACATACACACCTTGCCTGATTCATTTACTGCATGTATCAAGTTCTTCCTATCAAATATTACTTCTAAAGCAAGTCTCCCAGACCTCAATATATCCATCCTGACCACCACTGAATATTCATTAAACTTCCCATTATGCAGAATTATTATGAACTTGATTTACTCCCATTTCAGTCTTTCTTAACAGTACATATTAGGTAGGAAATGGGCTACATTTCTTGAAAGACATTTTTCAAGTTTTGGTGAAGAATTAAGAAACATTCTGCCAGTTTTTACGGAGCCTTCTCCCAGCTCTTCACCTTTCTTCACAATTTTCCACATTTTCCACAACAGTCTGCTCAGCTCAGAAATCTCTTTGCTGAGAATGTTGAGCAGAGCTCATTTTGAGCACTTCAGAAGTAGGAAAGACTCCAGCCACGTAGATATATTTGATTAAAATACTTGTTCATTTGGACAACTGCACTAAAATAAAAAAGTAATCTTGCTCAAAGTAACCAACAAGCCTACATTAGAGTCAAGACAGGCATTGAGTAATTTTAATACTTGGGTTTTCATTGTTCTAACTGAAAAATATGATTATGGTAAATAAAAAAAACACCATAATTAACTCTAGCCTCTCCAACTATGCTACCTATGAGAACATCTATGCATCTTGCTTTATATGTACGTTAAAGAAGTTTTACAGCAGTGTATACCTCTCTATGCTGTAATGTGCTATAATGTATCAATTAAGGACGGGTACTCCTTTCAAAAGCAACGCACAAAGTACCACAAGCACACCTGTGCATCCAAGTGTATAAAACACTTTCAAATGCACTTTCAAAGTGAATAAAGCCTTGACATTGAAGGCAATTAAGTTAATCTTTTATGCTCTGACATATTCAATTATTCAATTATGTTCAATTGATGGGTTGACGGATTTTTGTTGATTTTTGTTGTTTCTAGTTCTAAGCATTGTCAAAGATCTGAGATTTCTGAAGTTGCTTCGAAGATGATAAATAACTTCTTAGTTCACAACAGTTGCCAAGGAAATTTCAAATTACTTTCCTGATTTAGAGTAACAGTAATTCATATATTTTTGTTTCCTCAGTTGGCTAGCGTGCTCTAGAATGCTAATTCAATAAAATAAAGCTATCAGTATCACTCCAGAAAACTGTAAAATTCACAGTGCCACTGCTGGATAAATGAAAAGATCACCTGGCATTCTCCACTGCAGTAGATGAGGACACAAGTTTTTCTTCCAAAACTGAAACTTTTTTTCTTAGCTTGGCCTCTCTGTCTTCTGCAGCTAACACTTCCCGCGTGTAGGAGTCCTCCATTTCCAGAAGGTGATTCCGTAACCTCTCCAGTTCCTGATTTAGGCGCTGCTCTTTCTCACGCAAATGCTGTATCTGTGTAGAACACACCTTAAGTTGCTTGTACTATCAGTTTCCATAAATAATGCAAGCAAACAAAACATCATTTGAAGCATATTGCCTGCATGTTGATTTCAAATGTTTTTCACAAGTTACTGCTAACAAAAATAATGCAGAAAATATTATACGATGCAATTTCTTTTTTTTGTAATTATTATTTTTTTTATTTCCTACAGTTGTAAGTTACTTGGTGGTATACCTCACTCTGCAGGGCACTGCTCTCCATTTGCTTCTGTTTGAGTGCTACCATAACTTGGTCTCTCTCTTGTTGAAAAGTAACAGCCTTTTCTTGCATTGATTTAACTTCATTTAGCAGTTGATTCAATTCCCCCGTCTTGCCCTGTCAAAGACATAGAGGACTTCAAACACAGCAGTCTTACTGAAAGAGATGTATTCTTTGCCCAGAAGAATGGAAAGAAAATACTAATGTAACAAGGAGAAGTGCAAGACACCCATGGCCCTATAGCACAGAAAAACTCCAGAAGAGTATTTTCCCTGAGTGTGATTTCCCTCACACATTACCAAACAAACTAAAATTTATTCCTAAAAGGCACTACAGTCACAAGTATACTTCAAACTTTCAGGTTTTCTGCTATGGGTGGAATGTTTTATCTGTGGTACCTGCTTATTAGGACATGGACATATGAAGCACCTGCCTAGGCACGTCAACTGGCCTGAAGTTAAGATGACTAAACACATGAAGTAATCCTAAAAACTAAGCCATAAGGTGACTTCAGTTCTAGAGATCAGCCTTCAAAGAATCGCAGCAACATCCACCACATTTTCAACTGTCATATTTCAATTAATATTATTTCTCATTGTAAGTGATTTGTTACAATTTTACATAAAGGATAAACACATGAAGAAATTTGTCTGTTACCTCCAACTCACGTACACAGCCTAAATAAATGGATGCATTTGCAGTTACTTGAAACCTTCCAGCATCCTTTTTACCATTCGTCTCATATATTATTTTGAGAGCAGGTATTTTTATTGATTATGTTGGTAAAAAGTAAACCAATCTTCTATTTCACCATTAATACTTATAAGCTTCAATTATTTATAAATGAAACTGAATACAGCTTTTTTCTTTTGAGTAGAGCTGCAAACCTGCACAGAAATTTGCTGTTTATGCTGTTATCTTCTGACACCCATACAAAATACATTTGAACACTATTTTTCATAGTTCTCCATGGTGAACACAGAGTCTGCAAAAAGAACTCTGATTTGTGAAGAAAAAAAAGTCCAGACAATTGTTCCATGCTTACGAAACTGAAAGCCCAAGATGTCAGTGAGTGAAGAGGTCTGCAGGGCAAAGACATGCAACACACAGAGAACCTAACCAGGCACTGCAGGCTTCCAGGAGCAGCAGCTACTGGAGTTAGAATAATTAAAAAATAAAAATAAAAAAAGGTAAGAAGGTGTATATTTCTTATTGGCACAACTGATGAACATTAGTCCCAATGATAATTCAAAGCCTTTTTTTTTTTTAAATAATGTAACCGTAATTTGATACCTTAAAGATTCTATTCTTAATTCCATAGTATTTATTCAGAATAGGATGGGGAAACCACCACTAGGAACAAACAGAGCTAAACATTTATCTTACACAACTAACTTAAAAAAAAAAAAATGCTATTTTTTTCGCATGTATCAAAGTTGGGACTTACAGATGATAAATTCCTGGATATATTACACTGCAAATTTATTTGGTAGTTTGAAAATGCTTTTAAGAGATGTGAACTTTTCTATTATATAGTGGAGATAAAATGAATGCCAGGTTATATTGTAACGGTTTGCATAAACATCACTCTCTGATAACCAGCAATGCTCAGAATTTTGGAAAATAAAAAAAGGATGTTAAATGCAGCAAGGAGAAGAAAAACATGACAGGGGAACATTTCTGAGAAAAGACTGAATAATGGAAACCGAAGCCACCAGGATGAAAAGAATGGGGACCTGAAAAGAAAAAGCACAGTGGAAGAAAGATGACATATTTGGAAGTAATTACCAGAAAAGACTGCCCACTAGGACAGATTAAGTTTTAGAGACTACAAAGCAAATAAAAAGTATTGATATCCTGGAGTTCTGTTCTTTTCCTGTAGTTTTGATAAATGTTATCTGTTGCATTGTACTTAACTCCTGTGTTTCAAAAAGGATGGTGATTCACATATTGCTTCCTTAATGCCAGCAGTAGCAGTTCTTACAACATGCTGTTGACCCGAGTATCAACAATGCCACGTAATTCTTTGGCTCCTATAAAAAAGATTCTTACTCACATTACTTACACAGTAATTCATAAGCCACTGCAACTTTTCTCTGAACACACTTCAAAAAAAAATACCTACTTTTCCATATATTAAATTGGGAAGAGAAAACATTAATTTAGTTTGTCCAATGTTTTCATCTTTCTTTTTTTTTTTTTTCCACCAAAGCTTCTCCAGCTATAAAAGATGACGCTTGAACCCATTCATCTCAAAGCAATGCTGTGAAGCAACCAAATCGGAATGACACTTGAAGAAAACACATTGAGAAATGAGTCTTCGCCACCTCTGCGAGTTTGAGCAACGTACAGTAAAAACAACGTAGTACACTTAATGGACAACAGGCAAAAGCCAAAATATTGAGCAGCTGTTCAGTAAATGAGAATTTTTCAAATGAATGAAGAACATGGGTTATGAATACAAAATTAACAGATACAACTGCAAGCCACTCACCTGCTGATTTTTCATTTCTTAACTTTGTGGGGAAGGATTTTTGTTGCAATGCAAAGCAGTAAGAAGCCACAAACAAATTTAAGGCAAATACTTGATGTCTACATATACATGAAAACACACTACCAAGTGACTAATTTCAAGATAATGAACGTGAACACACATACCTGTTCTTTTTCTTTCAACAACTTCTCAAAAGTGAGAGCTTTTTCCTTCATTGAGTGGGACTCAAACTCTTTCTCCTTCAACATCATTGAAAATTGCATATTAGTCTCCTGAAGTGCTCGGAATTCTGTTTCCTTTTCCCTACAACTTGCAACTATTTTTTCATTTTCTTCTTTCAGTTTTCGAATATCCATTTCTAAAATTAGATTTCTTTCTTTAAGGTTAGTCACCGCTTGCTTTAAAAGTTCATTTTCGTTTTCTTTGTTACTAAGATTTTCACTCACAGAAAGTAACTGATCGCTTTTAGATTTAATCAGTATGTCTTTTTCTCTAAGTGATTTCTGTAAGACATCATGCTTTTCTTTGATCTGCCTCATCTCTGAATCAGTCCCCTCTTGACTCTTTCTTTCAGCCTCTGATGCTGTAGCCACAGAATCCGATAATCGTTGATTGTTTTCCTGAAGGGTCCTAATAGTTGAATCTTTTTCTTGCAACTTTTTTTTCAGCTGTTCCAATTCCTTTTGAAGGAGTTTAGTTTCATCACTGAGCACTTCAGGAGCACTGCTTTGAATGACCGGAGGCTGCGAAATGATGGAAGCCATTGCTACAGATGGTGTTACCAAATCAAGTTTACCCAGGAGAAGATCCTTGGTGTTATGAAGCTGTCCTATGGTGTGTTGAACTTGCGCTAGTTCCTGACTAAAACTTTTCAGCTTTTTCTCATTCTGTTCGTAACTCTGAATCAAGCCATTATAATCTACCTGCAATTTTGAATTACTATCGCTTTCAACTGAAATCTGTGCTTGAAGTTTGTGTAGCTCTTCTTGTAGGTGAGCTGACTCATGTTGCATGTTCTGAACCGTGGTTATTACCTGTTGCTTCCACTCTTCCATCTTCTTTACTTGCTGTTTTAGTTTGTCACGTTCTTGTAGAAGTTCCTCAAACTGGTTACTGTTAACACCTCCTGGACCGCTGTCAGTACCTGTACTGGACGTCTGCAAGACAGTCAATAAGGTTTGGCATTTTTGACTTAGAGCATCTATTTCAATATCTTTTTCTCGAATGATACGGGATAAATTCTGAATAGTTTCTCTAAACATGTCTTGGCTGCTATTTTCAAATCTATTAGATAACTTTTGGTTCTCTTCTTGCAGCCTTACCAAAGCCGCTTCTTTAGCAGCCACCATATCCATGATCTTATGATACTCTGTTTTTAACTGACTGTTCTCTCTTGTCTTTTCACTTAGAACTGCTAGTACTTGCTCTCTTTCCATGACATAAGCTTGCAGCTGCTGCTGAAGGCAAAGAACATCCTGCCGATAGGAAGCTGAGGAAACTCTAGCATTGAGGGCCTGTATTTCTAAGTCTTTCTCTTGGATGATCCGAGTAAGTTTGCCGACTTCATCTTTAGACAACTGATCAATTTGTTGACTCAGAGAAACATTCTTTTCATTTAGAAGCTTAATCTCCATCTCCCTTTCTTTGATACCTTTTACTAGTCTTTCAATTTCAGCTTTAGATAAGTCATGTTTTTCATTTCCATTTTCTCCATTAAGTGTCTGAACTTTCGTTACCTGAAAAAGATCAGAGGAATCAGTCTGAATAACCTGTCTCTCTTTGTGCAACTGAGTCTTAATTTGCTCAATTGTCTTCTGTAAATTTTTAATTTCCTCATCCTTCGCTAAAGAAAGTCTTTCATGTGTGACATTCATTTGTTCACACTGGACTTTAGATTCATCTATTTGCTTTCTTTGCTCTTGCAAAGACTGCTGAAGTTGCACTGTTTTTTGATTCTGATCTTCTATTGTTTTTTTGAGAACTTCTATTTCTTCTTCAAGATTAGTCTTTATCACTTTTAACTGCGTTACCTCACTTTCGAGTTCAATAATAATATCTAGAGTTTTAGGCTCAACCATAGGTGTAGATCTACTTTGTTGATCCTTAAGACGTTCAATTTCTTCTTTCAAATGATTATTTTCTTCCTTCATGATGGCAAGACTTTTGTCTTTTTCTTCTAAATTTTGTTTTAAGACATCCTGCTTTTTTGAAGCTTTCTTATATTCCTCAAGTTCCTGCCTTACCTGCAAGGCTTGATTTTTAAATTTTTCAATAAATTCCTCTTTTTCTTTTATGAGTTCTGTCAACTGCTTTTGCCCTCCTAAGCTAGTAGTCAACATCTCTTTCGTTTCTTGATGGTCACTTTCCATCTGCTCCATGTTCCTTTTGAATTCTGCAATCTTAAAGTCTTTCTCTTGATTCAGTTTAACTAGGCGTTCGTGTTCAAGCTGCAATGCAGTGGTGTCCATACTACGTGCATTCGATAATTCCTGAATAGTTTGCTCATACTTTTGTGCTTGCTCAAAAAGACGCTTTTCAGTCTGGTTTAATTCAGTTTCCAAATGTTTTTTTTCCATTTTCAAGGCCTCCACAACGGTGTCTTTTTCTAAGTAAACTTTATTCTTCTCAGAAATGGCATCGTTTAATTGCTGTTTTATTTCTTCAAAGGCTGTTACTAGCTTTCCATTTTCTATTTTGAGATCAGATAGAGATTTCTCCAAGTCTTCATTTATTTGTTTATTTTCTAAAATACTATTCTGTAGTTTTGCAATTTCTACTTCTCTTTCTTTCAGAATCAGATCTTGACAACTGTAGTTAGCTTCCTGGTTACTTTTTTCTGTTAACTTGCTCAAGGATACAGAAAGCTCCTCCTCTCTTTCTTTTAGTCTCTGCTGCAATTCTTTAATTTCTTTTTTGTTATGCAAGTTACAGTCCTGGGACTTCTTTAATTGCTCCTGAAGATCTTTAATAGTATTTTGAAGCTGCTGTTTACTTATATGCAAATCATTAAGTGCATATGAACATTGGCTTAGTTTTTCTTTCTGACTATCTAACTCCTTAATAGTTTCCATCTTCTCCATTTCCAGTTTTGCTACTTTCTTTCTTTCAAAATCTATGTCAATTTGCAGCTGTTTGGTGATACTATCAGCTTGTGTGTGTTGTTTTGACAGCTGCTCTTTCAGTGTAATCACACGCTGAAATGAACACAAACAAGAATTTATTAGGAAAGGAGAACCAGTAGACTTATGTATTTTGTTTTTATCAACTGAGCAATAAAAATTTGCCTGGAAACAATGTTTCCTACTTAAAAAAAACAAAACAACAAAAAAAACACTAAGTTGGCAAGTAGTATCAAGTAGTCAATACTAGATAAATTAAAAACAAATATAGAAGAAATAGATTGCCTTTTGCTGAAAACAAAAACACCATCTCCCCCCAGAAGATCCCTAACTACCTAAACCAAGGAACTCAAAGAGAACTAAGAGACAGAACTTTTCACAGAAGTTAAAACTGGTATTCAGTAAACACCCATTACTTAAAAACAGGAAGGTTTTAAGTGAGAAACAAAACAAAACAAACAAAAAAACACAACTGAGTATATATCTGTATAGCCAATTTTCAATTTCTCACTTAACTATGTTTTAACATACTTGCTGGGATTAATCTCATAGAAAAATATTTTATGTGTTCAATTCTATAAAGTAAACTGATACTGGAAAAACATGTTTTGCTACTATATATTTAAAGGTCAAATATATCAGAACAGTCACAAAAAGGTATTATTTCATTCTGTTTACATGTAATCTGTGGCCTTTTCTGCACACGCAAAGAAAAATTAAGTGGTATTTAACCAGACACTGGAAACTAATACCCATTCTGGATATGCCATATTTGTTTGTCCATAACAAGTGGGTTTCTTGCACTTCAGAACTTCACATCAATAAGGTAGAAACGGTGAAACACTGATCCTGACTTTTTTTTTGCCAGAGGTTCATTTATCTATGTGTGAAGATCAGCTTAAAAAACAAACACACGCAAAAGTATCTATTTTCCAAATTCAGTAGGTAATTTTAATGTTTATTACCTGAGTAGCTTCTTGATTCTGCTTGTCTAGTTCTTCCAATTCTTCTACTAAGGTTTCTCTTTCAGCAATACTTTCATTTAATTCACGTTCTTTCCTTTCCAAATCTTGCCTTAACTGATTTATCTCTGAATTCTGATCCTCAGAATATGTAGAAAGAATATTCTTATTTTCATGTTGTGCATGTAGCAGTTCCTTCTCAAGTCCCTCCTTAGGTCAAATGAAAAGTATTAAGTATTAGCCTTTGTCTTGACAAAATTTGTAAACTGTTTAGATTCAAAATGGTTTCTTTTTTTTCCTCAACAGTAAAAACAAAGCATGCATTTTTATGTTAGAATCTCTAGGTCTCCACAAGTAACATCCCAGGTACTGGATAACTGGTATCCACACTGAGCACATTTGATAATTCCTCAAAAGTCTACTCATGTTTCTGTGCAATAAAAAGTTATGCAATATTAAAAATGGAGAAACTTAAAATAGCTGTACACTGAGATGTTACGCTTGACTGGTGTGTTCATCCAACTACAACAATCAATTTAATATTAACAACATTTAAATGAAAAGTAAAACAGTACTACATGCCAAAAAGGTGTTTGAATATTTTAATATTTTTTCTATACAGCATGAAATAGCTAAACAACACTGCCCAGAAAATTTAAGACACATACCTTTTCTTTTTTAAGTTTGATGTTTTCTTCTTTAAGAACCTGTAGATCTGGTGTAAATGCCTGCATATCTTTCCCCGTATGAGTGAAACTGTCGGCCTATAAAAATAGGAAGAGTGTTTAAATAGTGGAATACTCCAGGTAAAGATCCAGAGCATTTAAAAAAACACAACCTCTAACTAGTCTTTACTAATAAATATTTATCAGTGAAGGACCATGGATGAATAAATACCTCTATGATAAGAACACAGTTTTACACTAAAATATTATCCATCTAATAATTCAAAGGGAAGTTAACTTACAATTAATACTTGAAAAATATGATACAGCAGCCTACGTAACAATGTGATAGGTGCAACTTTACTAGTTTTCTTCAACAGAATATGCTGTGGAGTTTCTATTGCTTCTGATTTCCACATGCAATTATAAAATTAATTTAAAACCATTACCTCCATTACAAGATTATAAATAAGTGTGAATGCTCCAAAAACATATACTGCCAAGAACATGTTTTCTATTAGTTACTACTGTTATGAACCATTTTGGTTTCTTAATTTAGAAATTACTTTACCTGATTTAAACTTGAAAGTCTTGCTATTTCCTTTTCTGCTTCTATAAAGGAAGACAGAAATAATATAGTTTTACTACTTTCTAAACAGTAACAACACAACCCAAAACATCCTCCTACCTTGCCCCAGCATTCTGGGGTATTCTCTTTTGAGCTACTGCTCAAAATGCTGTGAAACTATTCTCTTTCGAGCTACTGCTCGAAAGAGAATAGTTTCACAGCATTTTGTGACTAGATTGTTTGTTTGTTTTTTTTTAAGAAACAGTGCTGTAAAAGATTCAAATGCAGCATCAATCAACAAAGTGAAGTAGGGCATTACTTACACAACTGAATCCACTTAGGCCAACTTAAAGTATTGCCCAAGTGCTACACTGTGGTACCAAAGATTTTCTACGTGAAGACATGACCCTAAAACAGATAACCTACAGTATTTCTTTAAAGACCAGTAACATTAGACTACTTTATGCAGAAAAAGCATAATTTTGCAATTTAAACAAAACTTCTGTTTAGGGTTACTTTAAAAGAAAGAAAAATCCTATCAGCTGGCATACATGATTACTACTGGAAACAGAAACCCCCATGCAAATCATGCTAATCCTAATTAGGCTCTCTTTTCTGCTTGCCCTTATCTCAGTGGACAACCTTTATTTAAAGCAACAGCTTTTAAAGGTACATATTCACTTACTCAATTCCAAATCCTTGAAACAAATTCTAAGCATTAAAGTTGGAAATATGTGAAGATATATTAAAAACACAAACAACAAAATAAACCCACATCATCTTTGTACCTAACAGTGCTTGTTGTAGTCTGACGACATCTTCTGGTAGCGTCATCTTGGATTGGAACTTCTTCTCCTGTTCTTTCAAGAGAGCATCTTGCTCTGTGACAGAACTTTGAAGTATACTATAGTCAGATTTTAGACTTTCATATTCCTGGGTTATTTGTATTTTTTCTACCTTTAACAATTCTTGATCTTTCAAAAGAATTTTGTTTTCTTCTTTGGCAGAAGATAATTTCTGATTTAATCTTCTTATTTCATCCTCTAGGTCTTTTACAATTTGCAAGTCTTCTACTTTTCCTCCTTCTAGATTCTGAGCACTCTTTTTCTGTTCACTAGTTTTAGAGTCATCCACAGCATCAGTGCTTACACCATCTAAAAAGCAAAAGAGATCAGGTTTGCAATACTAACCAACTAGCAACTTTTAAGCAAAGTTAATTACACTCCTATAGTACCAAACAAAGACATGATCATCATCAACAGACAACTAACTTAAATAGAACTAACATTTGAAGCAGTTATCATGCATGTGAATGATCTGATAAACAGCTCTTCAAGTACTTACAAACTCCTTGTTCTAAACGGTTTTAAAAGGTGTTGCAAGACACATAGTTCAAGATTTAATTAACATATACTTAACCAGAAAGCGTGGGTAAGATTAAAGACACTAACTTATTAGGACATTGAATCTGTCAGTTTTCTAAAATTAATTTAGAAGAGACCCCAACTGACCTAACTTTTTGGGGAATAAGAAGTACCTTCAAGATATAACAAAGGCTCTTTGTAAGAACAACTTCTACAGTCTAATCATGCCACAGACATACATGTGGTCCTTATGGCAATCTGTAAGCTTTTCATCTAGTAACCCAACTGGCAGATGGTACTTCTCCAAAAAATTCAGGCATTCAACCCAACCACATTGAATTTAAGATACCAGGACATGTGTCACCTTAAGTATAAGACTGAACTGAAGTTGAAATGCAAATTTCTAAACATAATCAACTTAATATTTACTACACTGCTACTACATACATATCACTGCATATTAAACCAGAAAGTAATCTCAAAAAGCAAGCATGTGGTAATAAAGACCTTGCTGTAACTGATTCTCAAGTTCTTCAATTCGCTCTTCATATTCACTCAGCTCTTCTCGATGTCGACGAGTTATCTCTATTAGCTTTTGTCTGTGTGCATCCTGCAATACTGAAAGTTCATGTTGATGTTCATCTATTTCTTGACTTAAATTCCGTTTAAGCTCCTAAAGATATTGTTAGAGAAACAGAATGGTAAAATACAGTACAGAAGCTCTGGAAAGAAACAGTACAAAAGAAACAGAAGTTTTCCCTAGTAAAATCAAAAGATTTATTAAGGGATTTCTCATAGAAAAGGCCAAGTTTTTTTCTAAACATTTAAAAAGTCATTTGTTTAAAAATATATTTTTGCAAACAGTATGCTCTAGACAACTACACAATGGCAAATATTAAAAAAGGATAGCATAAAGATTACAGTATAAGAAGTGGATACAGCAGGACATTTCTAATAACTTTCATGGAAGACTTGAAGATTTGTTTTTTGCATCTTCAATGAAAGAAGAGCCAGGTGTTTATGAAAAGGGAGGAAAAACTACTTGATGTATCTAAAATTCAGTCTCAAGTAATCAATATCTTGTAAAAGCAATTTGCCCTCATAAATGCTAATGGCTTTCTTTTAATCTTAGATACTATATACATGAAATTATATAAACACCCTCACTTTCTCAGAATACTTGGCCATGTTTTGAAATTTAGCACAGCAACATTTCAGTCAGTAGTACAAATACACGTCCACGTGCATTTTTAAACAGAGAAGATGTAACTGCTAGTGTTATAAATATTTTTAACTTGACTCACGTCATGTGCAAAACCATCAATACAAAACCATCAATAATACAGCGTAAGCTAGGACTAGTTTGTCAAAGTTGTCATCTTACCTTAATGGTATTTTGCAGCTTGCATATTTCACTTTGTTCAGCAACATTCGTCCCTTGCACTTTGGAAGACTGAGAAAAGAAAAATGACACCTCCATGTGATCACGATTAATACTCATTTTTCAAGTAAGCACATCCTCTTTTGGTAATCAAAGGTAGAAAACAACAAAGGTAACATGAAGTAAATATGAAGCTTCTAACTTGAAATAAATTTCAAATCTATGCTGAAAACACACCTAGAAAATTGTATTTTTAAAAAATAATAATTTTCTATTGATTTTTCTTTTTATTAGATGCAAATGTATAATTATTGGTGGAGGAGAAGTAGGGACATGACACTATTGCATCTAGTTACACAAAGCAACAGGATTGCTTAATTTTACTCCTGTATTTCCACGTAGAGCAAGTACTATCTCTGAAATCAGGCTATAGTTGAGAAACGATGACTCACACAACAGCCTGAAAGCCTTTCTTGCATCCACAGACCATAAAGTACTACTGACATATCAAGAACTGTGATACTATCTAGTAATTTTGATAGCATCGTGTTGTCAATAAGCAGTCAATATCACAGATAGATAGAAGAAAAGTGTTTCTTTGAAAGGCTCCATAAAAATGAAACCCTGAAGTAGTATTAATATTTTATGTGAACGTTTATGACAAGCTTTTCCTTACTTGACAAATCACACTTAAAAGCATCACAAAAAGGCATTGGGAAAACATTTACGGAATGTGTCCCTAGTCATGTAATGGCAAAAAAAAAAAATGACTAAGATCATTAGGTTTCAGCTCTTCCATCAAATCATGTTGCTTCTATAAATTTTATAGCATGAAGTTATAAAGACTCCAGAAACACCAAATGCAATGAAAATACTAATTTGGAGGGGAAGACAGAGGGGAAATCACTCACCTGTGCAATCTGCTTCCAGTGGTCCACCTCAGATTCAAGCCTAGAAACTTGATTGGACAATCTGTTTATTTCCTGCTGAGACCAGATTAGATCTCCAAAATCCATGTCATCTCCTTCAAAACCTGAGGAATGCCTAACCACTGGAACAAAGGAAGCTGACGTAGTAGCTGGTTGCAAACCAGCAGCTGACTGCGATGACTGAGCAGCCGTCTGTACTTTCTGCAATTGTTCCTGCAGTGCATTCTGTCTAGCCTTCAGATGGCTGATTTCCACCTGAACATATAGAATATAATGCATTGTTTCAGTAAGAATATCAAAATATACTCTATTTGTACTCTTATGAAATATTAACCAAACATCTCCCTCCCAGCATAAATTACTGGTCTCTTCCACTAAAAAAATAAAGGAAGAAAAACCCTTCAACACTCTCCTAATGGAGAAAAGCAGTCTTAGCTGATGTGTTACAAAGCATCTCACACAAGGTACATATTAAAAGTGTTAATACTTTTTAGTAAAGTATTTCAACACCTACTTCCATAGAGGTTTTTAAGCAGTCTAGATACCTATGTACTATATCAAGATTCAAGCTAATAGGCTGTCCAAAAAAAAATAAAAAAATGTTTAAAGAGTTTGTTCAAATATGGAAATTAAACTTGGCATTATAAATATTATTTACATTATATTTGATTTATTTTATGCTCGACCTTTCAATATACTACAAACTTACTTACACTAAGCTAAAATTAGCTGTATGCAATACTCCCATAACTACTCTGTTATATTTTATGAGCAGAATTCTACACATCTCAAAATTCTGCTTCCTCTAGTTCCCCCATGTGTTTACAAATAAAGCAGAAATAAAACTCACTTTGTGTAATATTCTAGGCATAGCGGCAACTGTCTTCATTTAAAAGGCTACAAAAGCTCATGTTACACAGCAGGTGGTAAAACTGGTGTTTACACCAAAGTTGCACTTTCTCAAATTATGAAAGGTAGCTCTGTTTCCTTTAATTGTATACTTTACAATAAATAATTACAATATTAACAGACAATGTAACTGTTTCAAATGAGTTTGCTCCCAATGTCTTCCTTAAAAAAGGCAATTGACTTAGAAATACAAAGCAGTTAAAAGTATTATTTCTCAATGATTACAGAAACAAAGATTCTGATACACACATGACATTCCCAGTTTTCTCTTTCCTCACTTATCTCCTGACAGCACTGCTTACTTTATGTGATTCAATGAAATTCGTGTCTTGGCCTCTCAGTGTCTATATTAATAAACAGCCAATCTATAACAGTACATTTACAACTGACACTTCAACTGAAAGGCCACAGACACTATAACAGAAAAAAACAACATAATGCATATTGGACATATTGTTACTCTGTATCATACCTCTTTCTGTTGCAGCTGATTTCGGTACTCTATAGTTAACTGCTTTACTTGAAGTTCTGCTGCTTCATGCTTTTCTTCTAAATCACTGCATATTTTTTTCAGTCTCTCATTCTAGCAAAAATGAGAAATGGATGTTAGTAAATTCTGAATAGTTCTTACAGAACTAGAAAAGCAGAAGCCTGCTGAACAGTAAAACAAAAAAAATAAATATCATTTAAATACATAGATTTTTCACATATTTGACTCAAAACACACAGTAACTCTAACTTCCACGTGTGGTCCTAAAATCAAGTTCACACCCATGAACTTGATTTTGTGGTCCAAAAATGGATCACTTTCCATTTTTGTATGACATGGCGGTTTACAGTAGTCATAAGTGACAAGAAGAAAAATTCAAGGCTGAATTACATGTGGAACTTAAAAATAGCCACAGAGCATAAACAGGAGCTAAGATCCATACAGACCATTATTCTGACATTGGTCAACAGCAAATAACAAGAGTCTAAAAACAGAAGCAGGAAAACTGTTACTTCCCCAAAATACTATCTAGCTTTTCAACGCTCTTGAGAGCAGATGACATACACTGAGGTGGCTGGTTTACAAAGAGTCACAAGGCCAACAAGTCCTTTGAAGGGTACATGGGATTTGCAAGCAGTCTCGGAAGAGCACAAGCATCTGCAGCTATATCAAAATGACTACATTGGCAACAGAAAGAGAACTGCACCAGGGTGGGGGAAACACATTCACCCATCTTTAGTGCCTGCAACAAAAGACACGCTGCCAAACATGACCAGGCATCATGGAGATCTGCAGTCATATATATACGTGTCTTCCCCTGTGGTGGCCCATAGAGTGCTGTGCTCTGCACCTGCAGCTACAACAGCCCTGATATAGCACCAACACTTTGCCTCTTGCTGAGCAGGGCTGGCACAGGAACAAGACTTTCTCCAAGTAATGATGCAACATTTCATCTTTACCAGAAAAAAAAATCAAACTTATTGTTTTTAATTACAGTAATGTTTCAAAATTTCTTACTTCAGACTTCAATGCTGCATTAATACTTTCTATTTCTCTGAGTCTGGAATTGGACACATGTAGCTCTGTTGCTGCATCTGAAAGAAAAGGGAAAATTTTCATTTTCATTAACCAACTCTTAATGTGTTGAGTAGACATTACTTAAGAGCACAGCTATTAATAAGTATTTTTTCTTTAGACTGCTTAAATGTTCATTCCTATGTAAATACCAATAGCTGCTTTTATCTGACCACATTATTTTTCAGACCAGAATCTTTTTGAACCTTATTTAGTTCTCCCTCATTTAGTCTTTAAGTTGGATCACAAAACTAATGGCAAAAGTATGGAAATAAGCTTTAAAACAAGTGAATTGAAAAAGTTTTTACTTGACTGTTGTGTTTCACAGAATCAGTTTTTCATTCAGGACTTTGCTCCTGACACGACTATTGTGCGTAATTATTTCTCAATAATTTCATGTGAAGGTTCAAAAAAAGAATTAGCTCCATAAGGTACACACAACAGTGATTAACTAAATTTAGTCAGGAAAACAAAGGAACAAAACATAACAACAACAAAAAACATGTAACAAAACACCAATCCTTCCTGCCCTTCCATATGGAAGGGGAAAAACCTATAAAACTCACTTTCATTTACAAAGGCAAAACAATCTGACCATACCAATTTATCTAACACACACACAAAAAAAAACATTATTCTCCCCCGGATCCTTGTCCTCTAAAGATCAACTTTCTTCAAATAATCTGTTTACTACTCCTATGTTCTACTTAATTGGTAAAAATATAACATTTCCTTTTATTAATGAAACATAATTTATTGGCCATAATGAAACTTTGACATTTTTCACAGAAACTAGAAATAAATAGAATTGTGCAACTAAATACTGTATTTTATAATTTCCTATGTGATGCTTAACACTGATGCTGCTTAAGTGCTGCAGAGGCTGTGTTACACCCATAAAAACTGTTTAATTGAAGATGGGAGTGTCTGCAATCCACAAACACCTTCATTAGTTTGGCTGGCAAAGCAGCAAATGTAAGAGATAACATTAAGAATTAGGATAAAAAGGAAGGAAAAGAACTACTTGAGAAGTGTTCTTTAGGCCACACGGTGTATGAAAGTCTTTAGAGAGTGGAACACTTAGATGCCATTGGATTTTTACCTCCCCAGGTCAGTAAGCCTACTGCCCCATAATAACCTAAACTCTACCCTAAAATTGTTAAGAAATGGAAGTTGTTCACAGCAGCACCTAGCAGCGTCTCCCAGCACATCTGGAAGCAGCTACTGAACACCAACTCTGTCCTGCACCAACTGAAGCACAGATCTGTGTATCAGAATCAAAATTCAGATTTTAAAACCTAAAAACAAAGACACTAGATGACTACATGGTTTATCAGCGTAAAGTTAAGATTCCAAACTAAACCAATACAGATTTGGGAATTTAAAATAATTCAAAGCATATCCTTCAGAAAAGTGAGAAAAAGATAACTTCTCGATTAGAATAAATCTCTCTCTTCTAAGCATTTTACACATAGATAAAAACACCCATTTGTATCAGACCACTAGTGTCACACTGCTATCCAGATTTACACAATACTTGCACAACGTTTCACAGCAGTGGAGCTGCAGACAAGGCAGAGTTGTTTAAATCCACGTTCTAAGGGGAGCATTCACAAGCTCTCCGTGGCTGGTATCCTTAACACTTAGTTCAGAACAATCGCTTTTTCCAATAAACTGTAGTTTTAGGATGGCAAATAGTTGTGATTTTAACCTACGGATACTTATCAGCATTTTATATGATTGCTTTACTATAAAAATCAGAAGTTTTACTCAAATACTCCTATTAGAAAAGCATTGGTAAAAACAGAAATAAAATTATTTATCCTAGAATAAGTTTATTATGACTTTACTGAACATTGTCCTCTGATGTCTCAGCTGTTTTGTTTTGACTTTTCGTTTGTGTGTTTAATACCAGTCATCCTAGCCTCTAATCTCTGTACGAGGCCCACGTACAGAGGCTGTACAAAACCTGCCTGCCCTGCCGAGACAGAAATACCACCACCTCGGAAGCCCTGGACTTTCGGCCACGGGACACGTCAGAGCCGAGATAAGCGCAGTGGCAGCGCAGCTCGGCAGCGTCACGGAGCCGCGCTACAAGCAGCTCGTAAAAACGGCGGCTCCGATAAAGCAGACAAACACGGCGATGACCGCCCTGTGTTGTCATCGGTGCTGGGCGCCCCACGCCGCTCAGAGGCTTCAGACAACAAACCTCTAAAAACAAAAACGCAAACAAAGCGAGCCCGGGCACCGCGCCGGCCGCCCGGGGGGCTCCCTGAGGGGAGGATGGCTGCGTCCCCCCCCCCCCTCCCCGCCCGTCCCCTCTTACCGCCCACTTCCTCGGCGCCCTCCAGCAGGATGTCCTTGGTGAAGCTGGAGAGCTGCCCGGTGAGCGAGGACAGGCTGCCGCCCACCTGCCCCAGCGACTGGCCCAGCCCCGAGCCCAGCCCGCCCAGCCACGACGCCATGGCCGGGCCCGCTCCCGGCCTCCTCCCTCAGCAGCGCCGCGGCCCCGCAGCCGCCTGGCCGGCCGGCAAGGGAGGCGGCCGCCTGCTGCCCCCGGGGGCCGAGGCTCCCTCAGCGCAGCGCTGCCGCCCACCCCCCCGTCCCCTCAGCGGCTCCTCCCCGCCGCCGCCGGCGCTGCCACCTCGACGGCCGCCATCACGGCTCCGCCCCCGGCACCAGCGAGGCGGCCGCAGGCGGCCACAGCGCCCCCGGGCGGCCCGGCGGGGCCCTGGGAGGGACGGGGCCCTGTGGGGGACGGGGCCTGCCGGGCGGGGTGCTGTAACCCCAACCCTGACGGGTGCATAAAGTGCAGCTTTCTTAGTTCGATGTTTACCACCTTTGTAGTTATCCATACTCACAATCATCTAGTAGTCATCCACTTGAGATCTATTTCTATCTCCAATAAAAAATATGCGGAATTAGAGTACCTAATTAGTGTACCTTCTACACAAAATTCGGGAAGGTATTAGTACTGTGTTACAGTATAAAACAAACACGTAACTAAATTGGTTTTGCTAATTTAAAAAATTGCTTTTAATGGAGAATTAATTCTCCCCTATTAAGAGAAATGCCAAAAGGAGAGAGCCCAACACCCGAGCCAGCATCTCCTGCACTTTGCAGTGCCTAGAACATCCTTTAACATAATTCATCCTAAAATAAAAAGTCTGTATGACATAAACAACCCTTCTTTTCCAATCGTCCGTGGTTAATTCCTTTTCAGAGAAAACTTTTAACACGTTTTAAATAAGATGAAGGATGTAATCCAAACTTTAAAATATTTATAGATGATATAAACACCTCCTGTCACCCTACATTTTATAAAGCTAAAGAGGGAAAGAAGTCAACAAAATAGCACAGAGTTGTTTGTTTGTTAGTTTTTTTCCCCACTTCTTAAAATTATGACTCGGAGGTGTTATGTGCATTAATCTTGAAATAAAAAATGAAAAAGGATCAGTGATGAGTTATTATCAGGAGAAAACTAGCCAACTGCTAACATATAAACGTATATACTGATCCAAAGCCCACTGATACCAAATTTGAGATTTTAATGTTTAATGCTTCTGCACCCCATATATGCAAATAGTAAGGTCAAGAGAGAAACATTACACTGTAACTGTATTTATTTTTAAAAAGTCAAATACAACCTTACGTCTGTATCTATTTAAACAGAATTTTCAAACTATTTAACTGCACTACCATTTTCCGTTCAAAACAATGACAAAGCATTTAAGCTTTCTGTTTTACGATGTTTTTAGTATCATATGTTTTATATATAAAAAAAATATATATATAGAAATCTAATGCCAAAAGCATGATACTGAGAGTCTCAAGATGAAAAATCTACTACTGAAAATGAATTCTAACATACAACTGTCAGGCGTGAGAGGAACAAAATTATTCCCTTAGGAAATCCTAATTCCATGCTGTTCTGTACATAAGGAGGTTCCATCTAGCAAAAGATAGAATTCTATCAACATTTGCATAAAGACTATCAAAGCTTCCCTCCTTTCTTGCCCAGTGCCATTTAAAGAATTACACCTCTTGTAATGTAAAATCGTTTTATAAGTTCCCCCTTCTGAATTTGCAGTGGCTGTGCTAGGGGGAAAAAAAACAAAGTGCAACACTTTGTTTTTCTTTTCTAACATTTTTCTTAAAGTAAGTAATGTAAAAGCATTTTGATTTTGTGAAAGCAGGTGAAAAGACAGGTGGACTTTAACATATCCTGAATAACTAGAACTGGACAAGGAGAAGTATATTAAATACTGAAGCATTTCTTCCATTCAATTCCCCAAATGCAAATAAGGCAAAAAGTGTGTATGCAGGTTAAAAAATGAAGTTTATTGTGAAACACTTTGCTTTCAAGATAAGAAGTTGGATACAGGAGAACTACTCATTTGAATATAAAGAATTAAATATTTGGACTGTTTATACAGTTTAAATGTATTAATATGAAGACCATCAATATGGTTTTAACTCAAACAACTGATCATGTGCATGTGGTGAGAATAGATTATCTCTTGGAGTTTATTTTTTTAATAATGTTTTATGAGTAACTATGAAGATTTCCTAGAAATTAAGCTTATTTAATATAGCACAGTACTGGCTTGTAACATAAACAACCATTTTATGCTAGGCCCCTAAAAAAAAGTTTGTACTTTTCTTGGCTTCTTTTTTGGAAAGTTTTAAAGCCAACTTTAAAGCACGTGGTGATAACAATAATTGTGCAACAATAATATTTACAAATATGAGTTCTGGTGCTCCCTAATTCCTTTCCCCATAATGTTTCTCACTAAGACCCCTGTTTGTACATTTTCAGCAGCATGTTTGAAATCGTTCCTTTGAAATAGTTCCTAAATACTTGAAAAATCTCAAGATTTCTCCAAATAAGTGCAACACTTTTTTTTTTTTTTTTTTTTTTTTTTTTTAAATTAAAGAGCCCTATCAGCTTTGTAATAAAAAAAAAAAAGCAGCTTGGAAATAACAGTACTTGTCTGAGATAGGGAAATAATACTGCTTGTTTATGCAGAAGTTATTTTAAGCATAGTCCACCACCCACCATTTTATAAATCCATAATAAATGAAGTAGTCCGATATTAAAACACAGAGACATAACTTTGTGTTGGTAGTACTCCAGTTGAGAAATCTATACATGCCTTGCAGTGTGAAGCCTACAAAGTAATGAAGTATGAAAAATAACAGAAGCACATGCTAGCTGAAAATTACTTTTAAACTTGCTACTTTTGTTTTGTTGGAGATGTTCAAATGGCACAGAGCCCAAATGTAGGAAGAGAGTAAGCCAGCGGTATATCAGATTAGTTCCAAGCCCAGAAAAAAGTGACAATTTATATAGTTCATATATATATAATACCATGCCTAACAAGAACTGTATTCAGGCATGACTGTATTAAAATGCTTTTTCACGTTGCCTTCATTGCAAAACCACAAAAGCAGTTTACAGAATTATAGAACTAATTGTGGAAGGTATCTGGCAAGTATCACTCATTCCTCCTTACACCTTTGACTTCTACAGGCAGAAAACCACAAATTACGTTGGATGGACTGTGAGGAAAACAGTAAACATCTGTTTGATGAAGTATGAATTTCCCTTGAATATCATATCACAATTACAAAATTAAGCAGTTTTTTTTTTTTTTTTTTTTTTTTACAGTAAGACTTTGGCCTAAAGCATGGGGAGATACAATCTTTCAGCTTCAATAGGAATAGGCTCTAAATCAGTAAATAATGTATTTATGAGCATAGTTTGGACATGTTGAGACATATTTATCATTAAAAGAATGAACACCATGAAAGTGAGATCAGATTTTTTTTTTTATTGACAGCTTCTTGGCAGGTCCACACAACTTGAACTTTAGATCTGGGTCATAAAACATGCTCTGTCAAGAATTAGCATTAGTCTTTTCCTTTGGTGCAATTAACACACAGCTTAAATTGTTACCTCTTAACTGCATGACTAGGCAGCTATGCCAACTTTACCAAACTTGACATTCCTCTGAACGTCAGACCGGTGTTTGTACAGTGATGCTGTTTCTCCACAGAAAGGAATATGGTTAGCCCTGTAATCTGACTCACACATTTGTGCTTTTCAGGCACTGTTACTTTATATTCCTCACATATTAGAACACTTAGGTGAAGGAACTTACAAAGTAACATGAAAGTTCAAATCCAAACCTCCATGCTTTAGTGATTTCAAAAACATGTAGTTGTCACAGGTTACAGTTAATACAATTCAAGGGGCCTAGAGTATCATTATTTTTTTTTAATATGACTGCTATACCATATAGCTACAGAAATATTTATGATATTCTTACAGAGGATAAAAGGCTCAAGTTCCAAGAACTGGTATCAAGTATGTCTTAACAAGCTTTGCCAGCCTACACCTACTTATTAAATGGAGAGTCTTATTTCAGAATCAGTTTATGGCACAACAAAGGAAGGAAAGGTAAAGCTGTGGATAATTTGCAAACAAGCAAAGAAATAATTCAGTGCTTTACAGACTCCTTTTCTGTTTTCAGTTTCATATAAATTTCAATCAAATCTACATTCTGAAAAATATAGCATTTCAAAATGGCATTTGCATACCTGTAACATTTTAAAGCCATTACTTGGCTGTATTACTTTAATACATTACAAAGATTGATTACGTGCATGACAAGATTCCTTAAAAAGCAAAACTTTAAACCAACTTTAAAAAAGTACTGCTGTCTCATGTCAAAAGACACATCTTACACATACCAGTGGTTATGGTGACATTGTTGGAAATTTAGCATACAGAAAACAGAATTCTGCCCATTTATGTTTAATATTCTAACCTATCAAGAAACCATTGCTGTAAACAAAACTTTACTGAGAGGTAAGAGCCCTTTCATGTACAGTACTACTTGATGCTGAATGTAAATTTCCATCTAACTACCATTCAGTTCATACTAACTTTGTTACTATTGTGTAATGATGTAACATCAGAGTATTTTGATAAAGAATTTGGGGTTTATCTTCAAAAGATTATTCTTAAAATGCCTGTGCTAACTGTTAATGCATTAAGTGGTATACAGATTACATACTGTACCTACAACACTTCCATATAATTTATATGTAAACAGAATTTGTATTTCAAGCACCATTTAGGAAAACTAAACTTATCTGAATTGTTGCACTAAGTTGAAAGTCAAGTTTGGTCACCCTATTACACACTCACCCTGGGTATCAAAGCAGATGTGTTACAACCAATAGAATAAACTATCCCCCATCCTTTGCTCCCCAGTTTCTCAGCATCAGAAACAGCATGATAAAAAATTTTAAGGTGCATGAATAAAGGCCATTCCTGAAAAAGCTGCAACATTCTGACAGACACTCGAGAAATATTTTGGAAAGAACACCCACACAGACATAAATATTCATTCTTAAAAGAGCTACTTGCACAGGGGTCACTTCAGACTGCAGGAACGCACGTTGGATGTGTGGCACTACTTTTATGGCACCCAAATCTTCCCCATCTCCCTTCTCCTAGACTCAGTTAACAGCTCTTTTATACTGAAAGGCCAGAAGAAAGGGTTGAGCTCAGAGAGGAAAAACTCCAGGAGAGGTAAAAGAGAAAACCTGTTTAACCCATTATGATATTTTTACAGCAAAAAGTGGCATAAACAGAAGGAGCAGAAGAAAAACTAAGCTAATTAAAAAAAGTAATGGCAATGTATCTGCCAAAAAGACAAAATGGCAAAGCAAAAAGCCTACTTTAAACATGGATCTGAAACATACAGTTGGAAGTGAAAGGAAAACCACAAAGTGTTAGAAGGTCACAAGTCACTGAACATTCAGAAGTAACATTATAATCTACAATACACTGGAGATTTTCTGTTGAATTGCCAAGCATGAATTTATGGATTCAGGTTTCTCCTGCAGAATGGGTCATTTCAAAAGTGGACAGCAGGACCAAAAAGTTGACAAGTTTATGACTCATTCTGAATGACAAGTTATCTAAGATAAACATTTTTTTTTCCCATCTCAAGTGTTTTCTTATAATTACTAATTTATGAACACAGTTTATTATCTATTTTAGTATTGGTACTGAAGGACATCAGCTGACATTTTTTTGTCCCCTTTTCTGTTCTCTAGATAACTCTTCAAAACAATTTAAATTTGCTTTTTAAATGCAAGTTACAACTGCTACATATCTACCGTCAGCCACACGAGTAGTTTAAGTAATTTTAACGAGCTACTCTTGTGAACAGATACTCTGTAGCAGGAGTGCTACAGTTTCCTAAATTAGTGCAAACTTTTTGATATTCGCAGATTTCCTCTAAATTCTGAGCTCCAGCCTCTTTTCATTCCTGCTTCCAAAACTCTGAAATGAACCCTGCTTGTGCAACATCCACACAGTAAGATTATAATGGAGACTTAGTGTTTTGACAATAGAGGATGGGAAAATTGTGATGTCATTTTTTCTCTTCAGTATTCAAGTGGTTTCTAACAGATTCCAGAGACATGTTCATGGCTGCTTGAAGCATGTCTTCTTCACTCATATCACCTCCTAAAGAAAACAAATGCATATGAATTGTAAGAAATGCACACAGACAGTTCTCAAGTGCAGTTAGATGATTTTTTGTTCCTTCTGTTCATACCTACTGTTTCCACCCACCCTCTAGAAATTGTGGTGTTTTTTTATTTATTTTTCTTTCTAAAAACTATTTTAATTAAAACTATAATTGAACATTTTACACTTAAGTTTCCATGCACAATAGTTAGAATCAAATCATGCACACAAATTTTGGATCACCAGTACTTAATAGCGACAAAGCTTACATACAGATCCCACCACAGATTACAGTTTCTTGAGTTATGTCCCAGCCAAACTAAGCAACAACAAGCAAAGCCAGAACTCATTGTCTGATAATTCACTCCGAAACAGGATATTGACATTCACAGCAGAATAGGCTTTTCAAATAAAGTGATCCTTTCCTTTACCACCAAAAAAGACTAACAGCTGCAATGCGTAGTCTGAACAGCTGCTGGGGTGAGAAAGCAGGAAGGCAGGCAAAGAAAATTAGGAAGCAGTGCATAACACAAAGGTGAAAAAAACCTTATAAAAATTTCAGAGTTGAAAATACATTTAAAAAACAATACCTGGGTCGGCTTCCAGATTGCTTGAGCTTATAGCTGGCTTATCTTCTATGTTCAGGGTCTGATCTTGCTGCGGCAGCTGTTGTTGCTGCCTGAAATAATTATAAATTTATAAGAAAAAGTTAATATCAGACTTGACAGTATGAATCCTGAATCCTACAGCTCATTGTAAGGAAGGCCAAGAATGAGAAGCAGAAGTAGTATAAGCTGCTGTTTGGTCGGATAACACACCCATACTTAAAATCTCTTAAATTGTTTCCCCCTGTTAGCCTTCAGGCTTCTGTTCTCACAACATTATATTCTAAAATGCACTTTCCCAGAATTTGTGCTTTATCCTCTCATGCAAAATCTAACTTCTCTTATCCGTAGCATTTCTCCCTGGTCTTAATTTCCTTCACCACCAGGAAACAGAGACAAGGAAAAGCTATAACAATACCACAAGAATGTATTAAGAACACAAAAGCGAAGCACCATCTAGATGACTTCTATGCGACACTCAGTAGAGACATCACTACCAGAAGTAGTCTTAGAGCAAGAATATTTTTCTTCAAGAAAATGACTACACAAGTTATCTACAGGATTTCACATGGAAATACTGTAATGCATTTATTTGCTTCCCTTCTCAAGATTGATACTGCACTCCTAATAGTTGCTCTATTTACAGGTTTAATTTCTTTATAGGAACCATCTTGGAAGAGCAAAATTCTGGTATGCTATGAAAGCCTGTTAAGAGACAAAAGTTAAGCTGGACCTCAGTCAGAAACCCACCCACAGCCCAAAAGCACTGAACAATAAGACATTTACTTCCCAAATGCAGTTTTAGTTTTCTATCAGCTACTTTACTTTTCAAAATATGCTTGTCTTCTCCTTCGCAGTTCTTCTGAAGAAAGGGAGTCTGTCTGACTGGTGTGTGGTGACTGAGGAACATTTGTTGATAACGAGTTCAAGCACTCACTTCGACGACAACCTAAAATCAGAACAAGACATATCCTATCAGGTACAGCAAAATGAAGTTTGCAAAAAGCATACCTTAAAAAAAAGTCCCCTCCCCCCAAGAAAAGAAAAACCACACACCCCACACTCCTCAAAGTGACTTGTTAGTGAAATAAGCTCCTAAGCTAACTTCACTGCCTTACTCTCTCCTTAGGACTGTTTTCCTTTCCTCCTACCACCCTTTGCCAATTTGTTCTTGCCTCCTAATGATCAATGCTAACATGAAAGTTGCAACTTTTCAAAAAGCAGGAAGCAAGATGGTAAGAAAGCCTGGATTATCCTTCCAGGCCTCAAAGCCAGTCTATTCAGAGAGCCTGAAGCATATTGAAAGAGTGGCTGAAGGTGATTCCAGTAGCTGCTAAAGCATAAGCAACATGAATGCTAAGCCAAATTTAAATGAGCACTGCACCTTGCATGCTGAGTTGAATGGCTCTACGAAGATCAGCTTCTTCATCTTCCATATCAATTTCCTGCCTACTTAGAGCCAGGGCTCTTTGAAAATTCTCCTCATCTTCGTCTAACATGCTTGTTCCATCAAAAGGATGGTTAACTTCTATTGCTTGGTCCACATCGCTTCTGGGTAGCCTGTCAAGTCAATACATTTAAGGCATTCAGATAGTAATCATACTTTGATATTTAAAGTAAATATTTTGTGCTGATTTAGCTACTTATTTTTAAACTTTGGCAAAAAAATCTATTGTGCTAATATATTATACAAATATTTTCTCAGTTCTATACAAAACATGAAAAAATTGCAATCATAGCCTTCAGCTGTAAAATGAAAATACTGAAACCCTGAACCTATGTGCATATGTTGATGAGAATCTGCTTAATAGGAAAAAGTTCAAAAGTAGTAGTGCTATAAAAGCCAGTAATATTTTTATTTGAACCCACTGCTAGTAAGATAGCTACACCAGCAGATAATAGTGCATGTGGTCTCTTCCTAAGGAATCTTTAATGACTATCCTCTGTAGGCTATACATACTTTTCACATAACTGCCAAGTAGTTTACTGTTTTTATTCCATCAATTCACAACACTATAGTTTACCCCTATGAAGTGGAAGAAATAATAATGAACTCATTCCTTTGAAGACAGCCTTATCCTTTTTTTTGGAAATCAGTATGCAATTTATTCACAACGAAAATGGGATAGAATGATTTTAAGTAGTACATAACGTGCTCTTGAAGTTTTACATTAGCAGTATTTATCACAACAGAGTAGCACACCACAACATTTACAGGTAAATTATTCCTGACGGGAATGTTGTATTATTATTTATATGATGTGGAATGTATTTATGGGAATATTGTCCTTTTCTACTAATGATAAAATACAATCTTAATTGCAGATCAATTACCAATAACGATAGTTTGGTAAGGTTGGCTAACCTATTCTACTATAGTGAGAAAAACCATAATCATCACAGAAATGTATGAACTGGAAGGGACCTTAAAGATCATCTAGTTCCAACCCCCTGCCATGGACATGGACATCTTCCACTAGGTCAGGTTGCTCAAATCCCCATCCAACCTGGCTTTGGACATCCAAGGACCAGTCACATACAACTTCTATGGGTAATCTGCTCTTATCTATTCGTATCACCTGCAGAAGCATTTTGGTTTTAGCCTCCTTTTACATGAGAGAGTTCATGACAATCACTGCTAACTTCTAGAAGACTTCTAGACTGTGCAACAAAGGAAAAAAAAAAGAGAAAAATTATGGTATTTATTGCACACTTAAAAATGCACTGTTAGTTACTCCACTAATTTGGTTTCATAGTGTGCAATAGCAGAAAACATTGAACTAAAGGTACTTCTAATTACATCTTAAGAGGGTTGTCTCCATGTAGACATTTATCATAGAAACAAATCACACTGCACAGTATTAAAATGAAATCTGTTTACTTTACCTCTGTTCTCTTGACTGTGCTGTCTCTTCCCCAATTAGTTTTGGTCTCTGCACCTGCTGTACCCGAATCATCTGCAAGAGCTGATCAGCCTCACAGTCTGGCAGGTCACCTTTTACTACAAATATGGAATAACCTGAAAAAAAATAAATTGTAAGTCTACAGCATTAAGGTGTACAAGTAAGTACTCTAAAATGCACATTTATACGGAATACAATGTGCAATTTATTAAAATGTAAGGCTCTACCTTTCATTATAAGGACTTGGGTTATTTCACTATTTCAGTAACAAAAGTAAGCGTAGTTAACTGAATTCATTAATTTCTAATAAATAACGATTATTACCTACTTTTAATTAATGAAATTTAACATCTGCAAGTTACTATTACCTTCTTGTTGTAATTGAGCCAAGAAAAGTGCAAGATATGTATCTGATATTAGTTCTGGACCCATCAAGAGAGAGTTCAAGTTAAACCACTGTAATTAAGAAAAAAAGGTTTGAGAGAACAAATTAGTATAAAGATTACTCTGTAATCCATTTCTGTACAATGTGGTCATTTTCTATGACGGAATATCCAACTCAGTCTAGTAAAATAAATCATCAAATTAAAAAATCTTTTGAAGCACAATACCTATACTGCTAAAAGTCTCCCTTCAAATACTCTTCATCTAACAGGAGATCTGTAGCATGGAAATTATTGCATGTTCTCTCCCATTACTCAACACTGGTACCAGGGAACACATCAAAACAAAAATCTAAATATAACAGTAGAGGAATCATAAATCAGACAAATCTAAAATACTCCATAATCCTCGTTTTAAAACTGTTAAGAGATTAATGAAGGAAGAAATTTTTCATAAATTAATACTCTATCTTAATGCATTAGTAGGTACAGGAAGCAAACTGAACTCTTTCCGTTACATTAACTAAACATGATGTCTTTGAAAACTATGGTTTACACCTGGATAATTTTTAAATTTAAAACTTAAGTGAACTCAAATATAATACATGAATAATATAGCAATATTACAATAGCGGACACCAAAAATATATACAGGTGTTTCCAGTCCCCTGCAGACAATTAGTTGGTAATAACACTTCCACTAGGGACAAATATATTCAATAGGTATGGTAAAATATTCTATCTTTAAAATCCCATATATATATTACTATCAATTTGAAGAACTTTTTTATACCACACCCATTCAATATTATTCAATTTGAACCAGAGAGCACCATTTCAGACAGCAGAAGAATTCTATCTCCATTCTCAAAAAAAAGACATTTGTCTACCTAAACTTCTATATACGCGCTCATACATTTGCAGTCAGGCCCATACTGTAAGTCACCTCTGTTTCAGGTTGAGTATCTACCCTTCTGTCATCGAATCACTTGACTTCTCAGTTAAAAAGCCCCCTTCCCACTGGAGAAAGGTAAAAAAACACATCACCAGTGTAGGAGTGGGGAAAGAATTGAAAGGTTACGTAAACATATATGACAGACAGATTACTGACAAACTCTTAACAGAGTATGGAGGAGAATGGTCTAGTGAACTAATTTTGCTTTTACTATAACAGAAAAGAAGTAGGTCAAAGCCCTAAGTCTATCTTTTCTGTCTCTCCTTTCTCATCACTCTAGATAACAGAACCTAGTGTAGCTCATTGCTTTGTGTAGCTACAAGCCGCACGTACAAGCAAAATACATCCCTCCTCCAACTCAAGAACTTTTAAGCTAGAATGGCATCAAAAATGTTCCAGCTGATGTGGTTGTATTTATACTAGGGAACATTCCCATAGCTTTGAGGGACCACTCAGCCTTTTCAATTTCAAATACACAAGAAATGCCTTTAAACAATATTAGCTATACTTTACAACTAAACCAGAACAGTAGTTTGCTTACTCACAGGAATAATTGCATTTCTGTTAAACTGGATGACAACATATGTAGCCAGCACTTAGAAAACCGAATTGGTAAAGTGACTCCCACCCACTATGTTAGAATTTAAGAGCTTACTTCACAAACAGCTTATGACAAAAACAAAAACAACAAAACCCACCATACCAAACCTACTAATCTATGTTGTGCAGAAGCTTATCCAAAACATTAACTGGCTACTTGAAGAACAACTGTACTGGTGTTACAAGAGACCTGCACATGACTTGAGTTATGATGTATAGACTCATGCAGGAGTCTGGCCACCCCTTGCCTTTAATAGTTATTTCCTGCTTATCATACAACTGCTTCAGATTGTTTTTGAAAACAGTGAAAAGCTATGATTCTATTTTCCCCAACCTTATCCTTTGGATACCCTTAAATACTAAGGATTATAAATATTCATTAATACAGCAGAACTTTGAACTTTTACTTCCATCTATTGTCCATTTAAACACACAGGCTACTGGCAACTCATTTTTACAATGTCAATAATGCAGTCCATTAAATAAACTTGCATTTTACAGGAATCCTAATCTTTATCTAAGACTTCCCCCTCTTCCATACAAACATTTTTCTGCTATTCTTCATGCAGAAGAGCAAGAAAAGAACTTGAGAGGTCACACAGACTCTGCCTTAGCAGCAACTTCCTATAGGACAGGTTCACTGGGGAATAAATCCTAGGATCTTTCCCCAGGCTAACATTCATGAAAAGCTGCCTGGCATATTTGTGATATAACAAACAATTACTAAAATCATTTTTTTATTACTACTATTAAAGCAAACTGCAGCAAAAACCTGCAAAAGGCCAACACATGGTCTATTTGCAACCGTTTTTTCCACCCCCGCTCTGAAGTCAATTTTTAAATAAAAAAAGACAGTGTCACCTGTTTTCCTAACTTTCGAACTGTAAACCAGTGTTCCTTATAATTACAAATAAATGATTTTTCATTTCTGTAAAAAGAAAAACAAAAGGTATAGATAAAATTAAATAATATCGGAGTGCATATTATTGTTTAAGTTTTTTGCTACCAGTAATTTAAACTTGCATAACAAAATTTCAGTAATACAACTGCTGACGTTACAGAATACTCATACTGCTTTTGTAACTTACAGTACTTAGAAAGTTGTCCTTTTTATCGCATCCATATTACTGAAATCTCATACCCGTGATGCCACAGATACTAAGATGTCATAAAGGCACACAGGTGAGGTGCTCATACACACCACCAAAAGAAAAAAAATATAAAAGGCAGAGAGTATAAAAAAATAAACATCAGGATGCAACAGAGCTTGAAACAGTGACTTTAAAGACACAGAACTAAATCACTGATTGTCAGTGTTTTTCCATAAAATGAAAGCAGGGTGCTAAAAACAATAATAAAAGAGTCTTACATAGGATCGATCCCAAGCCTCTGATACTCTGGGCTGTTGAAGAGGATTAGTTCTAAACCCCAAACTTTCAAGGCATTGCTTATGACCTGTCAAAAAACAACACTTCTTAATGAGTTAAACCAATCAAATCTAATTTGAGCAACTGCAAACATTTTAGCCACTATCAACACTTGTATTTTTCCTCAAAGTTTTGATTTCAAAACATTGCTGGGAAAACTAGGAATCTCATTATTCAAAATGCAACTGCCACGAATTTACATGCTAATATAACACGCCTACCATAGAGGGAGTAACAAAGCTATGATTTAACTAAGACATGTTAATAAACTTACTCCCCCAGTCAAAGCTGTAATTTCAACTCCCACAAACACTAATATCATCATCTCTCTGCTCTCAATGGATTGCTCTGCCCTCCCTCTCTGCTCAGTGCAACGTCATCTTTCTCCACAGTAATAATTTGAAATTTGCGTCCCTGGAAGGTCTCAGCACCAACTCAGGCTCATTACCACAGGTTACTGCTAGTGTTTTTAGGTTGACTATCCCAATTAATTTTAAAGAGCTGTCTATCAAAGCTTTCTGATCAATCTGAAGACCTTAAACTTTGTTTTTACTATATGGGAAATGAACAGAAATATAACAAAATCCAGGGCATTGGTATAGCTTATAAGCTTTTCCCATATCTTAAGACATCAAAATTGGTATTTCCTTAATACTTTAGATTATTTCAAAATCATTTTGAAAGGTAATCAGCAGATTTGAAAATAAAAATTAACTGAACTCTTTTACAAGAGCTCTTTAAGGCTACTTGTGATTATGTTGTAAGAAATTTTAAATCAACAATTCATCTTCCTTTCAGTCAGCCAGTTACATAGCAAGTGAGCAAAGCAATGAGAGGATAAAAAAGGTAGAATATATGGGAGCGTTTTTTCCAGCATCAGTACTGCAGCAACACAATCAAGAATACAAGAAATGCTAAACTGTTCATCATTTTTCACAGAGTAGAAATACAGTCCTGCCCTACATCAGACAATAAGACAGAGGCTCTGCTCTCAGGGGATTCTGGAACACTGACAAGCACCTCTCAAAACTATTGAGACAGCCAAAGGTGCAAAGCTTAGCTAACAGCTTAATTCCAGAAACAAGCCCCAGTTCAGTGTTCAACACCTTTTTTGGTGTTCTGGTTTAAGTATTTCCTATTACTTACTTGTCCATTACACTCCTTAAAACAAAACATAAAACTTCATTTCTACTGTGGCTGTAGAGCGCTGTAAAAATAGAAATGGAGGTACTTCAGCTTCTTCCAACCTGCAGATCACTGCGATAACCCTGTAACCACTGCCATGTGCAAAATCACATATATTGCATAAAGAAAAAAAATCATACAGTATAGAACAACACTTACTTGAATTGAGAAGAATCCACTATCATCCATATTTACAGAAGGCTGCTGCTCAGCGTGAGATTGGGAGGGAGAAAAGAGAAATGAGAAATGTAGTGTAAGAATAAAAAGGTCAGAAAAAATTCAACTTCAAGAATAAATAACTTCAAATACGTAAACTAATTATTTCCTACTCAGTGAGACTGATTACAATACCCAAATATACTTATTAATTAAAACCTCAAACATTTAAATTAGAAATGCTTAGTGCTTAAAGGACAGACAGGCATGGAAAATTGTTCCCATCCCTGCCACTAGTTTACAAAAACATAAGGCAAAATTCTTGTCCTTGCCATGCCTGACCTTCCTACCTATAAGATGATGATAATATAGCTCCCCCTCCCCCCCCACTTTTTTTTAAAGGATTACTGTGAAGCTATACTAGTAACATTTAAAAATGACAAATCTGAAGTACTTGAATGGAAATATCTATAAACTTAAGAAACATTAGCAAAAGAAACGAACCTTCTATAACCATAAAAAATAGCAAGCCTGTGCTACACAATATTAGATGTCTGGCAAATGTCAAACCTCAAATTACAAAAATTTTACCTGTAAAAATGTTCGATATTCTTCACTAGACACTCCTCCCTCTGCCATTCTCATTCTCTCTTCCTCATCCAACTGCTGCGCAATGGAAGATAACTCAACAGGGCTAAAATACTCTCCTTGTAGCAAATTATTCAGGCAGTGCTGAGCACACAATGAGCCTTCTTGCTAACATTGGAAAAGAAAGAAACACCAAAGCAATGACAAAAACATGTTAATGTTTGCTCTGAAAAAAAAAAACCATTCAATTTAATTCTGGCAAACTTTTCCTCCACTCCTCCCCCCCCAAAAAATGTTTTCTTAAGATGTATTATAGTGCACCCTGTAGAATACAACCCCAATCCTCACCCCACATGTATATGACAGGGTAAACCCACTACTGTATTTACTTCAAATTTATTTTCTTCTGGGAAAAGTGTTTTGGAAAACACTATAAAATTGCCTACGGCCTGACCAAATCACACAAGTACTTTTCAACCAGCAGGATAATGGATTCGGCCCTGTTCTAAACCATCACCATATGAAAAGAGGAAGCTTTTTTGTTCCTCCTCTCTAATTCCCAGTAACAAATATTCTCAGCAACAGAAACTCTTGCTCTTTGTTAAACTTTCCTGTGCACCAGGTGCAGCTATCAGCAATCTGCTCTCCACATGTGGTTAAAGAAACTCAGACCATTAAGACTTCAAAGAGATTAAGAAGTATACATCTACAGAATTTGTTTCCTTCCTTTCAGGTTACAACCAACTCGTTTATTGCTCTGAAAGTGATAAGGTGCTGGAAGGGTAGGAAATCTCATTTTCCACATGAAATTTACGAAGAGGAACTAGGTAAGTGAAGCTAGTACATACCTACTGGCTGTAAAATCTTGCTGACAATGATGAGTCAGCAAGAGAAAAAAATGAATTTAGCACATTCAACACTGAAAATATTTTTTGGATAAACTATTCAAACACAAAACACTTTAGATACTTTGTTACATATCCAGCATACTGGAGATTGCAGAAATACAGAATTTTTAGACTGTCAACCCAAGTTAAAAATAAATAAGTTATCAACGGTCATCATTTTGTTGCACAGATTAAAACCAGATCTGAATGACTGCATGTTAGGCTCTACTGTTTCATACGTGCAGATAAAATACTGTTTTTTTTTAAGAGAGAAATTATGGTTTCCCATCAAAAGCAATCTTTCTCTAAGAAATAAACTGTGAGAGCAAGACAAGATTAACATCAGTTTTCAAATGCATCTTTGTTTTAATCAATGCTCAGTTATATTTCTATTAAAAACGTGCATTAAAACAAACAAAAGAAAAACTCACAGAATGAAAACCAGCTGCCCTCCCTGCCCTGCCAAACCCAGAAACTAAGACAAGGGCCTGCCTTGGAGGAATACTCTTTAGACAGCCACGAAAGCAACATACAAGTCACACGCATGAATCTCTCATGGTCTCCCTTACAGCAGGAACCTCAGAAGTTCCCTTTATTCCCAATTACAAAACCATCACTCAATCGATCAGTGAGTTAAAGCTGGAGCAGCTGTACAGTCAGGGTACAATGCAATTTAGAAGCGTCATCCTCTGCAGCTCCTACAGCTCATCTTCTCCCCATAAGTAATACGTGTAATTCAAGACACAGAAGTTCCGGTCCTATTTGAACCACATCCCTGCTGCTGGCCATGTGATACAACTAAAGCAGGGGAACCTGCTCAAGAATCATGGGCTTCTTCACCAGAGCTGTACAAAATCATTAGAAACAAATCAGTAATCGGATACCTTTGAAACTGAGTTTTATTGCAGGCTTAAAACACAACATCACTGAAAGGGTCTTTCTGTACTTGTACAGAAGAAGTTCTACCTTAAAACTAAAACAATTTCTGTAAATACAACCTGGATGAACTATAAGTGCAGAAGAGAAAACTAATCTTAGAGTTTGTAAGAGATGTTACTTTCATTATTTTTGCACAGAGCATTCTGTATCCTTCCACAAACTGAAATCCTCCTGTTGAAACCTACCCTGATACAAACTGCTGTGCTGCTTTCAGTGTTTTCAATCATTTGAATGCCATCAAAGAAAGGGCCAACTTTTACACTGAGGACTCCTTAAATCCGGACTAATCCTACATTTTTGCGAATATAACTTCCCTGTTACAAGTGCCACATTGCTTAGGTCTTTGTTTAGTTGAAAGTGTATCAATTTCCTTTATAAACACCATATTTGCTCATCCTTATTTTTAAATTGAAATATCTTTAGTGTGCAAATTCAAGTGGTGCGTGTGTATACATTCAGCATTTTAAGTGTTTTGACAGGACATGAAATTGTGTGCTTGATGGGAAAGAAAAATATCCCCTAAGAAACAAGGCAAAGGTTCAGGTGAGGCTTCCCTATAACAACAACAAATACATGTATTTGGTAGTCTAATTTAAAACAGGCACACGGGCACTTTAGGAACTGCATAACCAACTTACTAATAACCACTTACATTCCACATTCACGTGAGACAAAAACACCTAGAAAACCCACAACCAAACCCAGCAGCAGCTATAAATGACAACTGGTTTATAACTTGGTACCTAGCATGCTCCATCACTTCGATATCAGCAGGTTTTAATTCCAAAACTACAAAGAAATTTTACTTGCAAGAACTTGAAGTTTCAGTTCCCATTTCCTCATGCAGCAGGCGAGACAAGACAAAAGGAAGGTGCGCTTGTTTTTCAACTTGTTGTCAAACCTCGACTGGGACTCAAGGTCACTGTAGCACAGGGTGTACCAGCTGAAATCCAACACTTAGCCCCTGAACAGCAGCTGTTTAACATAACAGTGCCTGGCACATTTTGCTACCCAAACCCAGCCTGGAAGAACACTCCAGGTTCTACTGATTTCAGGAAAGAAATTTTAGAAGTTGTGAAGCTGGCTGACTTTATTCGTTAAGTAAGACAACAAGTATCCATGAGAACAGCATACAGAGACTAGTGTTTCCCTTAAGACAATGGAAGTGTGAGCAAATTGCGTGAAAAACAGCTAAGTTTCACACTGAGGCACAGACAGCTGGCATTTGGGAACTCTGCTACTTCACAGTAGCTTCCAGAAGCGTGTCCTCCAAAACAGGAAGCTGCCTGGCACCCAGGAGCCCAGCAGTAGGATTTCCTTACCAGCGCTCCATTTCCTCGCTCATTACACAACCCAAACCGAGGCAGGTTCAGCCCAGAAGCAACCAAGCAACCCCAAACCGTCCTGCTGGTCTACACTGGAGCCTCTCTTCAAGGCACAGCGGCGTGCACCTGAACGCACCCCAGGCCTGCTCCTGAAGCCCCCGGGATGTGCAGGGGGGCGAGGAGCTGCTGAGGCCCGGCCCTGGCGGCGGCTCCCTTCCCCACGGGGCACCACGGAGGAGGAGGAGGAGGAGAAGCCGCAGTTCCGCGCTGCCCTGCCCCTGCCGGGGGGACACCCTCAGCCCGCCCCAGGACTATGGGGGGGGACCCGGAGGCAGCGCGGTGAGGCGAGGCCCGGCCGCCGCCCCCACCCCGGCTCCTCAGGGAGGGCGCCCCCGGCCCGGCCGGCTGCCCCCCGCCATCGGAGCCCCCCCAGTTGCCCGCTCACCCGCTCGTGGAAGATCGCCTCCATGTTTACTGCCAACGGCCGCCGCCTCCCGTGCCCCCCGCAGCCAACCAAAGCTCGCCTCGCCGGGCGCCGCGCGGGCCCCCTGCCGGCCGGGAGGGGGGCGTGCGCTGATTAACGCCTGGTTAATTAACGCCTGGACTAATTAACGCCGGGCTCCCGGCCGAGGGACGCCCTCGGCTCTTCCTGCTCAGTCAGGCCTGAGTGCTGCGCGGGGCGCGGGTTGGAAGCAGCGCAGCGGGGGCAGCTCCCTCGGCGCTCCGCCCAGCCTGCCTGGGCGGCCACGGGGAAGGAAAGTCCTGCACGTTCAAAAAAAAAAAAAACAACACCTCCAAAACACAACAAAAACAGCTGTAAAACAACAAAGAAAAACCCCTACCAACCACCTTTTGGGCCTTTGATAAGTATCCCCTTGAAATACACCTCATAAATCAGCTATAAACTTCCACACCGCACAGAGTAATAACAACGTAACTGATTTTTGCATAGTTTTTTTCTTTATTACATCCTCTTTTTCTAGAGTATGACTTACAGGGACAAAAGTTTCTCAACAGTTATGGACTTCCTGGACGCAAATTAGTCATATAATTAAATCATCTTCCAAAAAGTATGTTTGGAAATTAAATTGGCAGTGATGGACTGCAGCTGTTCTTTTCTGTAGCTTTATATAGTCTTAAGATGAAAACCGTAATTGTATTCTTTCAATGCTTAAGACAAGATAATTAATCAAGTGAAAATATTCCTCATTTCATCAACAGTCTTTATTTCCATGTTGTTTCTTCACCAGGCTTCAACTCTCTGTGGGAAGAAAAACAGAAAAGAGACTAAAATTAGGATGATTTTTTGTAGAATAATTACTAATATATATAAAATATTCTAGAATACCTTGATTTTGAAAGTTATGTTAAAATATTAGAGGTTTTTGTAATATGCAGAAATAACAGCTAAATGTCACAAGCAACTGAAGAGTGCTCATGTAACAGTGGCAAGAATTATATCATCTTACTTTCTTACTCAGAACTAATCCAGGTGACAGCAGAGTTTAAAAAAAATCAAACTGATAACAGTCCTATGATGAGTCCATGCTATGCAGCATGACTTTTATTTCTGTTAATTGCTTAACCCCATGGTGTAATGTAAAATTAGAACTGATACAGATGATGCACTGCATTAAGTTATCTAAATTCTCCCTGAGAAATTTGCCAGCAAGCTCAAACTGTTTACTATATATAATCATACCCTGAAGTGAAGATACAGCAATTGCCAACATAAACATTTGTGTTCATTTAAAAAATCATTACTTTTAATAACAAATTTACACAAGCATTGAGTTAATAAGTGCTGTGATAATTTTAAATTTAAGACAGAAGCTTGCTATTATCCACTGAAAATTAAAATTCAATGACTCTTTCCCACTGAGGTTTCAGAGACAAAACAATGGTTTCTATATTTCACGACTAAGAACTGGCCAGCAGCTAACAATTAATAAGCTTTGGACAGGCAAAGATTTTTGTACTAAAGTGAATATACCTTATTTTTCCAAATTACTTGATTTCAAATCAATAATTAGTTAACTAAAAACTAATTAGGAGCTGAAAAAGATCGTTTTCCATTTTAAATTGACAAACAACATTAAGATGCAAGATACTCATTCTTCCACCTCTAGAATCTTCAAGGACTTGGGGTTGGGGACTAGGTAAATTCATACCTATTAAAAATACTTCCCTAACTTGTTAGTTCTTCATGCACTTTGTAACTCTGCTTCCCCCAGTTAACAAAATAATGCTAAATGCATGCTACATACACAGTCCCACACATTTTCTCCTGGCCTATAAATCCCCCCCCAAAAAAAAAACCCTATTAGATATTTTCCTTGGAAGTATACTTTACAGTAAAGTTGAAGTGGTATTTTTACTACAATCCTTCGAGATTTCTTCTTATTAGCGGTATTTCAAAGTTATGTTTGTTTGTAAGAACAGTGCTCGCCACTAACAATACTATACTAAGATTTAGTTAATGGCATGCCATGATAACTACGCTGTGAAGTATGGTTAAGTTTTATTATTTTAATATGGCTTAATGGTTAAGTTTTATTATTTTAAGATGACTTTTTCCTATTCTTATTCATCTGTATGTGTTTACTTTTTATTTTGATCTCATGTACTGCATCCTTCAACTAAGTTTATTTAGATACAAATCAGTCTTAATATTCACAAATGTTTGCTTTTACCTTGCTTCCACAAATAAAATTTATTCATATCAACACTTATAATTGACTGGTGCAATTGATTATTTTAAATCAGTTATATTGGCTAAATGATTAAAAAGATATAATTACACATACTTTCTTTTCACAATTCAGAGCACTAAGATGGGTCCTAATGCTGGGATATTCAGAGGGCATCAGTGACCTACCTAAAACCCATCAGGAATGCTTGCTGAAACTTTTATCCCCCCCCCAATATTTTGGTAGTATCACCGATTTTTTTTTTTCATATTTAAGACTCTTAACAACAGGGAAGTACTTTAACTCAACTTGGCAAAATAACTGAATGTACATATTTAAAAGTCATAATTAAAGCAGACCTTCTATACAGTAAGCTCTTGTTTCGGAAGGTTGACAGTTTTTCATCGTTCATTCTGTCCAGATAGCATCCAACCACGAATCCTAAAGGAACGAGGATGTGAACCCAGTGATCACGCACAACTTGGGCGAAATTCACCATGGCTGCTAGAAAGGAAAGTATAACAGGTTAAGAGCTGCTAATACATCTGGAAATGGAGGCTGTGGCATACCTGGAATATTTATTTACACTTACTAGGATCCTACCATAGGATAACTGATATGTGGGCCACTAACAGATATGTGGGCCACCGAACACTTCCTATGGGATACATGTGGTTCTCAGATACATACAGAAGTTTCTTAGAAATAATTCTAACCAGCTCTTCGCCCTGGGAAATAGGATTTTATCCTAAAATGGGAAGGGAATCTGTCTTCTCGGATATTACCGGTGAATCAGTCACAGTTAACAGATCAATTTATTCATTAAAACCTAACCATACGGAAGTTCGCAGCTCTGCAGACCATTAGGAGCGCACTGTCACACCGAATCCCAGAGACGCGCGCTCTATTACCATTAACCAGCCGTATGGGACCTGACAGCTGGAGAAAACGGCTCGTTTGTAGAAACTCAATAGGCGAATTTCGCCGGCCTCCCCAAACCACAACCTCCCAGCTTCAATGGAGATTTTACGAGACACCGAAGAAGTTTATGACCCGTTCCCGGCCCCGGGGAGAGAAAAGGGGAGGGAAGAGGGGACAAGACACAACGACCCCCCCCCTCACAGCCCGCCCGCCATTACCGCTCCTCGCTGCCACCGGGCCCCGCGCAGCGGCCGCACCAAGGGCAACGGGCGGTGCGAGCAGGCCGGGAGAGCCCACCGGCAGCACAGGGAGCGGGGGGAGCCTCCTCCCCCCCCATCATCTGCCCGGCCGTGGTGCCGCCCGTTCCCCTTCCACCTTCCCTCTCCTCCTTCTCCCCGCCCCTCACAAGATGGCGGCCGGCGGCGCCGGGGCAGGAGGCGGCGGTGGGGGCGCGCTCCGCGGGGCTTGAGGGCGGCCGAGCCTCGAGGCAGCGGCGGCGGCGGCTCGGGGGGCACCGCTGCGGGGCGTCCCCTCGCCGGGAGCGCCGGGCTGGGCCCGCTGCCGGGCGGCCAAAGGCTCCAGTGCTCCGAGCCGGGCTCCTTCTCCTCCTCCTCTTCCTCTTCTTCCTCCTCTTCCTCCCCGGTGAGCCCCGGCGGCGAGGCGCGGCCCGGCCCGGCCCCTCAGCGGCGGGGTCTGCCCCGCTGGGGCTCCCCTCAGACCCCAGAGGCGTGGAGCTGGTCCCTGCGCCGCTTCTAGCACTCCCTTATTTTATTTTTTAAGGTATATGTCTAATAAACTTCGAAGCTCTCTCTTAACAACAAAAGACCCCGAGGGATCAAAAGTTGGTATCTGGAAGTTAGGGGTTGGCATCTGGTATTGAATGCTATTCACCACCATTGCTGTGCATGCTCTCAGAACTTGAGAGAAATCTAAGGAAAAGGAGGGGGATCTAAATAAATAAACATTTCCTCTGGATTACATAATAAAATGCTTTCTTCCCCCATTCAGATTAGTTCTTTCTGAGATCAAGCGCTTGGACAGAAAAATGACATCGATTATCAAGCTGACCACGCTTTCAGGGGTGCAGGAGGAGTCTGCCCTCTGCTATCTATTGCAAGTAGATGAATTCCGCTTTCTTTTGGACTGTGGCTGGGATGAGAACTTTTCTATGGACATTATTGACTCCCTAAGGAAGTAAGTAGTTCAGACATGTTAAATAGGTCTTATCTCTTTCTGAAAGTTTTCAAAATGCTAGTCTGTGGTATCTACGTGATGATGTTATATCCAAAGTTGTTCTTTTTTGCTCAAAATGCGGTTTATGTGAAGGGGATGATACTGCTAAAACATCTCTAGTAAATTTTTTTCTTTAGCCTTACGAGTAACCTCAATTAACTACGGTTCTCAAACTGTTCAGAGTTTGTTTTGGTTTAGATGTTTCATGTTTTTACATATGTTCTGCTCTGCATCAAGTTTATAGGAGGCTGACCTTGGCTTTAAAGTAATTTAGGATGTTTAGCTAAGTTTTAAATGAGAGGCCTTATTGTATGAAGGCTGAAGATAAAGTGGATCAACTCATGCCCCGTATTTCAAGTTTAACAAACTGTCAGTCTGGAAAACAGCTTCTGTTAGTATCTCAGTACTGTCAAGACATCAACCTGTCTAGTCTTTAGTACTGAACTCTTGCATGTTTATAGTGAGCTTTCCTGATGCAGAAATTGATTGCTGGTAAAAGACTGAAACATAAAAAATCTGTGAAACATAAAATATTCTGTGTTTTTAGTTATATATTTTTTTAAAGTAAAATCTAAATTTTGTATACCACTTTTCTTGAGTTATAATTTGGCTTGTTTCAATTTGGAAAAGAAATGTTTTGATTTGATTCTTATCAATATAAAGATTATTGAGACTTGGATCCTGTTATTTGTTTTTTCTCATCTGAAAAAAAGTTGTAGTCTGTTTTAGGTTTTTAGATATATAAACGTACCTGCACCAAAAATACTTTTGACTCTTCAGTTAATGAACTATCTGGTGTCAGAGTATATATTAAGGTCTTTCTAATCAACAATTTAATGTGAAACTTTTGAAAGTTCATAAATGACCCAGGCCTTGAAGTTACATTTTCAGAACTATATCTAAGTTCTAACGTTACTTGAGAATGTTTGGAATATCTCTGACTTTTAGTTATGTTTTTTAAACCTGGAAGGATTTGAATTTTCTTGGTTGGCATTCAGATTGTGCAGTTGTTTGCAAAATAGTCATGGCTGGAAGTGTATAATTACTTTCAGAACTCTTTTCAGCAACTTCTGTTGTCCTTCCTTTGTAGGCATGTACACCAGGTTGATGCTGTTCTCCTTTCTCATCCTGACCCTCTACACCTTGGCGCTCTCCCATATGCAGTTGGAAAAATGGGGTTGAATTGTGCCATTTATGCAACTATTCCTGTATATAAGATGGGGCAGATGTTTATGTATGATCTGTATCAGGTATGTTTAAGTTCATACTTTAATACACAACATCATTGATAAGGTAGATGGCTCAAGTTTTTGAACATTCTTTGCTTCTTGTTTGTTGTAGTCCCGCCATAATACTGAAGATTTCACACTCTTTACGTTGGATGATGTAGATGCAGCCTTTGACAAGATACAACAGCTCAAGTTTTCTCAGATTGTGAACTTGAAAGGTAAAGTTGTTCTTTAAGGAACAGTTTTGATAAACTGCTTCTAGGGACTCTCTTACTTTCATTAACAGTTAAGGTAACTTTTTAAAAGGAGTATGTTTATGAAGGTCACGCATTTTGCAGATCTGAATTCAGTAACACTGTGCCAATCTGTATCAGTTGAACACGTGACATTAGTAATTGTATATGGAGGTGGGTAGAAGTTCCACTTAATGAGGAGGAGGCTGTGCCAAAGCATATTTAGGCACTGTTTTCTCCTTTTTTTGTGTGTAACTTTTCTTGGAGCTAGTTCACATGTCTAAAAAATACTTATTCATACTGCAGAGCTGCTCAGTAACAAAAGAAAGTTTTACAGAGAACAAATAATGTGCAGATACTAAGTTTTAGCATGTGCATGTTTTAACGAGGTCTTTGTAGACTATGAATGAAACTTAGCATAGCTTATTGCTAGGAACTGTGACATACAGATAATCAGCATCTTTTCACTGTTGCTGAATTCAAAGATCAGAATGAAATGGAAACGCAGTTCTTGCACAGACACACATAAGCTGATCAGCAGCAGCTTGTCTCCAAGATGCTGTATCTCCCAGCTCCTCAGTGCTGCCTGCTGAAATTCTTGCCCTGTAATTTGGCATCCCATTTCTATTTTTCTTTTCCATTCTTGAAAGGCTGCTGACCCTTTTTCAAGGTATTTGTAGCACGGATATATCTGTGCTACCAACTTTGACATCTGATAAGTGTTTTAGTGAACAACTGTGTCAAAACACCTTTTTCATATTTAATGGAAGTGATGTGAAGTTTCGATGGACGCATCTAAGAAGATAATGTGTTCTAATCATTGTTAAAGCGGTGCAGTCATGCAGTTCTAGTTGGTGTCATCGATCAAAGACAATGAGTAATGGTCATGGTTGCTCTAGTTTTACTCTGACAAAGATCAAGGCTAGCATGAGTGACAAGAGGCAGCCGTGCATTTAAAAAAGTAAGAAAAGCGGCATGTAGTGCTGAATAGATCAGCCATCCCTCCTGACTGTAGCACGTAGACACCTTTCCTTGGAATTCTTTCACTTGCCTGTTTGTCGTTCTGGCAAATTTCTGGTTTGTGTAACTTACTTTTTTTTTTCTGAGTACTTAGGCAGTGACTGATACAGTAAGCATTTTGTGGTGCAGCAGAGAGTGGTCTGCCTTTCACCAGCTGACTTGTTTCCCTGGGATGTGTTTGTTATGTAACATGCTGCTGTTTAGGTCTGTAGTTATAGCAGCTTGGCAATGCCACTGAGTACTGGTGGGAGGTGGCGTGAAGAAGTGCTCTTCACTTTAGTTTCTTTTTCTGGAGACAGAGTAGAAATGAATTGCAAGAAGTGTAACATCATGAACTTACTGGTTAGATTGCAAGGAGAGAGATGCTACTGATTTTCACTCTTCATTTGATTTTTTTTCCAGGTAGTAGTTGTGGAGTTATTTATTTACTTTTTATTTAGAGTAATGGATTTTAGTACGTGTAACGTACCTAAAATATCGAGAGGTTTTTAAAAGACGGTTCTTTTTTGTAGGCAAAGGACATGGTCTGTCAATCACACCATTGCCAGCTGGTCACATGATAGGAGGCACAATTTGGAAGATTGTCAAAGATGGAGAGGAAGAAATTGTTTATGCAGTTGATTTCAACCACAAGAGGGAGATGTAAGTTCAATGTAGCTATCTGTATTTCTCAGATGTGTTAGGTGTGCATTATTTTGTGTAATAAATAGGTACGGAAGTAGTAGTGCCTTTCCAGAAATAAGATGCTCATTTCACATGCATTCAGATTAATTGATTTTAAACAAGTGTTAGCTCTGGGTTTCCTCATTACACTCAGATTTATTTATTTTGTAAGTTTGAAGCAGGAAACATCTGTATTGTGCAGTTTGGAAAAGCTTTTCTTGCAAGTTTAAGAAGGAAAATAATAACACAAAGCTCATTGTTGTGTAGAGAACATAGACATTGAGCAAGAAAAAAAATGTTTTCTTCTACCTTAGACAATAACTGACAGGATTCTTCTCATGTCCTGTCTTCCTTCTTTAAAATGCTTATTTAAAAGAAGAAAGACAAGAAAATGAACATTGAAATAAGATAATTTTTCACATTAATATTAATTAATGTCTTGTATTATGCATCAAGCCAAATTTAATCATTGAAACATAGAATTGTAGAATATCCCAAGTTGGGAGGGATGCACAGGAATGATTGAGTCCAACTCCTGGCTCCACACAGGACCTTCCAAAAATTAAACCACATGTTGGAGAGCATTGTCCAGATACTTCTTGAACCCTGACAGGCTGGGTGCTCTGACCATATCTCTGGGGAACCTGTTCCAGGCTCTAATTTGGGTCTGTTCCAGGTCTAATTAAAGTTACACAAAAGAGGCTTTTGGGGAATGAGAAGAGAAGAAAGTAGAAAAACGAAGCTAATTGAAACTGCCTTTGTTCTTACTAATGATCAATTGTAGATATTAAATATAATTTATGCTATGTGTCAACTGCCTCAAAATTACTTGTACATTAGGATTTTGAATCTTTTTAAACATCCTCTTATTCTTGGTCTAAAGTCTTTTCATTAGGAAGCTCTCTGATTTGTTTATATGTGATACAATAGTTTTCTATTATTGAGGAGTTTGACTTCTGTACATGTAAAAATCTGGAAACTAGCCATTTTATTTTTTATTGTAAAATGTAAATGCGGAAAGTGAGTTTTGGCCTTTTTTCCACAGCCATCTGAATGGATGTTCATTGGAAATGTTGAGCAGGCCTTCATTGCTTATTACAGATTCATTTAATGCTACCTATGTACAACCCAGGAGGAAGCAACGGGATGAGCAGCTACTGAGTATGTATTCTGTTTTGGGGTTCAAGATAGCAGTAACAGGACTTATTAGCCACTGTAAATTGTTTTCCTGTAAGAAGCTCACCAGCATCTAAATTAAGAATCTTTATTAAAATTTAACAAATTTTGATGGTACTGATCCTGTAGGCAAAACATTTTCCTAAAAACAAAGAATTGTACCCTATATAAAACTGTTTGAAAATGGGGTATTTTACCCAGGATTGTTTGATTTCTTAAGGAATTTTTAAATGACCTTTTATAATGCAGTCTTTTTTTTTAAGCTCCATTCTACGGATTGTATTTATTTATTTTAGAAAGTAATATCAAGGCAGTGAGATCTTCAGAACTACCAAGAAAAGTCCAGCTCATTTTAATTTAATTGGAAATGTGGTTTTGGCTCTGTCTTGAAGTTTAATTTATTGCTGAGTTCAATTTGCTTTTGACTAATGACTGTCAGTGTGATACAGGAAGGGTAAAGAAAAACACCACCACCCTACAAAAATCAAAGTTGTGGTTTAAAGTGTAAGCATTTTGTTTTAATTTTTTCTAGCTAATGTTTTGGAGACATTACGAGGTGATGGAAATGTATTAATAGCTGTGGATACAGCAGGCAGAGTTCTGGAACTTGCTCAACTTCTTGATCAGATCTGGAGAACAAAAGATGCGGGATTAGGAGTCTACTCTCTAGCACTTCTGAATAACGTCAGCTACAATGTAGTGGAGTTCTCCAAATCACAGGTTTGTTTTGTTTTCATTTTTAAAATGCAATTGTGAAGGGGATAACAGGTTGTATGTTTAAGAGGTTTTTTCTTTTCAACAGTTAAAAGAAAAAAAAAAAAGCTAAAGACTGGGTGTTACCTTGTTCTAGAGTTGGTATTTGTATCTCAGATGTTTTGATCGAGTAAGACAGTGTCTAGTCATTGCTACTGCTGTACTGCTTGATACTTGTTTCTACTTTCTTTTTAATCACAAAACTTGTCAGTATAGAGTGTAGCTATTAAAAAGTACTCATTTCTGTGGTGTTTCCACTCAGCATTGTTTCTATACACGCTGAGAAACCTTGATGTAATCACACATTTCACCTCTGTACTTAATATCAGGTTTTTATGTTTTTACAGAGCTTGTATTCCTATTAATGATTTTTTCTTAATATATATTTTAGGTTGAATGGATGAGCGATAAGTTGATGAGGTGCTTTGAAGACAAGAGAAACAATCCTTTTCAATTCCGCCATCTCTCCTTATGTCATAGTCTTTCTGATCTGGCTCGAGTACCTAGTCCAAAAGTTGTTCTTGCCAGTCAACCTGATTTAGAGTGTGGGTTTTCAAGAGATCTTTTCATTCAGTGGTGCCAGGATTCCAAAAACTCTATAATTTTAACTTACCGCACTACACCTGGAACATTAGCACGATTCCTGATTGATAATCCTTCTGAGAAAGTTATAGATATTGAGGTAAGAATTTGTACATTTATCTAAAAGTTTTTGATGTGGGCAGGGTATAAGCAAAACTGATTTTTTTTTTTTTTGACCTGCTGAAAATGCTTTTAGTGGTGGAAGGAAATCTGAAGTAAGTATGTTGCATATATAACAAGTTAAGGATAAATTTACATAAAAATAGATCCTACATTAGGAAATGCAAATTGTTTTTCAGTGCTGTGGTAGAATTAATACTTCACAGAGATGAGCATGAAGCTGCTTTTAAGTATTTAAATATTTAAGAAATATTTAATTATTTATTATTAAACAACACTTCTTACATCTTTTTTATTATTAAAAATAATCTGCCATATATTGGGATGAGGGGAGAATCGAGTTAAATGAGTGTAGTATATTGCACCAGAATTAAAAAGATAAGTGAGATTTAGGAATTAGAAGAATACAATTAGTTGTTAGTCATGTTTTCAAATTATTTTCAAGTAGTATACCTGTGTCTGCTCTATGGTAATTGCTAGTAACTTACAGGAGTCCCCTGTGGTTGCAATGATAACTTCAATCCTGATGATGCAGCCTGCTTTAGTTTTAGATTGGATTGGAAATGTTCAATTACAGTATTAGACGTATTTCTAGATTTCTGCATTATCCAGTGCAACCTATATTCTAACTTGTTCTGTGGAAAACAAGAAAGAAAACTTGATGTTGTTTTACATACTAGTATAGCATTTTGCAAGGTTCTGGTTTTGTTAGTTACACAAAAGTTAAAAAAAAAAAAAAAAGTGCTCATTATAGATATTTGCATTTATTGAAGAGAAATGTTTCCTGAAGATGTTTTGTCTAAAGAATTTTTGTAAAGCCAATTGATTTTAATACCTCAAAAATGCTTTTCTGTTAGTCTCTGCTAATTGTCACGATATTGCCGTGCTAAGGTGCCACACAATTACATATTCTTGTTCTGTATGTGACAAACAAGTTGCATTTGTCCTTGGTACTTAAATATAAATATTATCTTACCAGCAGTGTACAGGTGAAATGTTAAAATCACATCAGCTACTCAAAGTAATGTTAATTTTTATTCTATCTGTAAGTTGAGAAGACGTGTCAAGTTGGAAGGAAAAGAACTTGAAGAATACCTAGAAAAGGAGAAACTAAAGAAAGAAGCAGCTAAAAAGTTAGAACAGTCTAAAGAGTAAGTATGTGGGCTGTTGTGTTCTGCTGTTACTGTTAGAGTTGATATTTGTGTGATCAGCTTGATGCATCAACTGTTTACAGGGATAAATGAAAATTGTGGTTTTGATAGGTTTGTCTGAGGGCACTGAGGAGTCAGAAATGGTTGTCTTTAATGTCATTAAGATAGACCTGTTTCATCTGCTTTTTGTGAACAACTTCTCAGGTGCATAAATTGTCCTTGCCCTTAGTGTCTGTTACTGTCCAGTCAGTGTGTTTATGTAATACTAAACCTGAATTAGAAAGAAAATTCTTTTCTTCTTGGAATGCCATTTCAGGGCAGATATCGATTCCAGTGATGAGAGTGATGCCGAAGAAGATATTGATCAGCCAACTGTACATAAGACCAAACATGATTTGATGATGAAGGGTGAAGGTAGCCGAAAAGGAAGCTTCTTCAAACAAGCAAAGAAATCTTACCCAATGTTTCCAGCCCCCGAAGAAAGAATTAAATGGGACGAATATGGCGAGATTATCAAGTATGTAGATAAAGCAGTGATAGTGCTTAGTAACATGTAACAGCTATGAAATAGTTCAAAAATAGAAGTAATAAAAATAGAAACCAGCATTCTCTCCCTTGCTACACTGTTATATGCTCTCCTAAACACAGTAACATTTGAATGGCTTCTGTAAAACAGTTTGTGCTAAATTTCACAGAAAGCAGAGCAGTGGTTCTTGGCATGAGTTTACATCTGTTATGTTGTATTTTTGCTACGTTTTTTTCTTTTATTTTTGAGAGAGAAGATTTTTATTTTTTCTGAACCTGACTTTTTTCTACTTTAAATGACACAATTTTGGTAAATTTACTATGACAGGAAGGAGCATCTTTCAAGCTAGGAAAATATAGCAATATTTGTAATATTTGTGTGAGGAGTACATGCTAGAAACCCTCACCTTGCTAATGTTCTGTAGGATATCAAAACGTTGTTTTGAGATATGAAGGTAATATTTTCCAGATGAGCTGTGTTCACATGTGAAAATATTGAAGCCAAGTGTAATAAAACTGTTAGCACTAATGATTCTAAAAGAAGTCAGTAGTTATAATGAGGATTATTTGTTTCTATACTGTGTAGTGCTTTGCAGTTACTATAAGATTATTAAAAACAAAATGCCTTTCATCCTTTAGACCTGAAGATTTTCTAGTTCCAGAACTTCAGGCAACAGAAGAAGAAAAAAGCAAACTAGAATCTGGCTTGACAAATGGAGAGGAGCCTATGGACCAGGATTTATCAGATGTTCCCACCAAATGTATTTCAGCAACAGAATCCATGGAAATTAAGTGAGTGGAGTAGCTTTGTTCCAATTTTTGGTAACTTCATAGCTAGGAGGGTACTGTTTGAAAGGCCAATGTGTTGTAACCAGCATTCAGCTGTTTTGCCTTCTTTCCAGAAATACTTGTTCAAGCTGAAACTGGTGCTTTCTTTTTTTTTCTGAGAAGAAAAAAAAATATTTCAAGCGTTTGGGTTTTTTACATTGTGACAATAGGCAGTAGCTATGTTTATTTCTCATGCAACAAGAGGGTCTTTTGTAGAAGTGCTAATAGGAAATGCATGCCAACGTAGTATCAGCCGTTAATAGTGCCTATATTTCACATTCTGTTTTGCTTTGAATTCTGCTTGTCACCTGTGTGATATAAAGGGATAATGGGAGAATTCCAGTACTACGTGTGTCTCCTGAGTCTATCCTCCAAGGTCTCTGATGCTAGAGGATTCTTTGGAGCTACTGCCGAGATCAGTGCTTGTAGGGAAAATACAGTGTGTTGTGGGGAGCTCGTTAGGAAAATGTTGTGTACTGTATTGTTTGCAGCTGTGTATGTATCCAGTGAGTCTTGAGCTTTATGAGCCTTAGTCCATGCTATTAGAATAGTGGTGCGGATATTGTACAAATTAGGTTAAAAAGCTAGCTTGAAACTAAAAAAAGTCATATAGGATTCTCTTTTTTTCTCCAGGTTAATCACGATTATTTTTTTTACTAGTCTTTCTGGGAGCATGATACAGAATCTTATGGCTCTTACTCTTAAGAAATATACGCTTTGGTTCCTGTTTGAGGAGAATTGGAAAAGGAAGAGCAAATGATACGATAGTTTGTCAGCACAGATAAGGAAGTGTGTATGTATATATTGCTAGAAAGGATTGAACTTATTCACATACTCTTAAGTCATGTTTTGATAACTATGTAAGTGAATTTTGGGAACTTAGTGTTAAATATATGTATGTGCTGATACTTGACAATTCTTTATTTCACTGATCCATAAAATGTCTTGTGATGACAACTTTTTCTGATGTAGAATAATTTTAAAATTTTTCATTTTTTAAATCAAAATTTTTGATCAAACTTTGAGTGCTTCAGAATATTTTGTTTAAACTTAAAAATCTGTTATTCTTTTTTTTTTTTTTTTTTTAATTCAAACTAGAGCTAGGGTTACATACATTGACTATGAAGGACGCTCAGATGGGGACTCAATTAAAAAAATTATTAACCAAATGAAACCAAGACAACTGATCATTGTCCATGGACCACCTGAAGCCAGCCAGGACCTTGCAGAATGTTGCAGAGCTTTTGGTGGAAAAGACATTAAAGTTTACATGCCCAAACTACATGAAACTGTAGATGCAACCAGTGAAACTCACATTTATCAGGTAAGCTACAGGATTTTGTTACTTGTGTAAGTAATGTCAACTGTAATAAAGCTGTACTGGCAGGCTTTCTTATTTAGCTGTTTTTTTCGGGAGAGGAGACACAAAATGCTACATGTGTACACTTGATTTTGACACTGGCAGCTTTTTTCTGTCTTATGGGTAGGCATTTTCCTTATGCTTAAATGAATGTTACTCTGAAGTGCTTAAAACAAAACTGGAATGTGAGATCAGTCCACTTTTGCCTGTAGTGTAGAAGGCAAAGTTTATGTCCATTGGAACATCAGTTTGCTTTACTCTTAGTGTTAGTAGATTAATTGTGTTTGTATTTAAAGTACCATTGTATGCTACAACTGCTTGGAACTCAGGATTCTTTCTCTAATCTCAAGAGGAGAATTAGCAAAAAAAAAAAAAAAAAAAAAAGTAGTGCTTGGGAATAAACATGTACAGTCAGGGGCAAGTTAATGTTAAAGAAATTATTTAAAAAGGTACATCTGCCTACCACCACCTCTTTTCTGCTCACAAAAAAAAAAAAAGTGAGGTAACAATAAAATGTTGCACTTCTTTAATACATTGTATTTAGTTTTCATTGTTAAGCTCAAAATGAGAAAACTCGGATAATTTGTGTGAAGCATATGAAAATTCATATGGTCCTGATGCAAATTTTGAAGTTGTTCCGAGGAAAGCATCTCACATGCAGTTTAGGTATTTGGTCTTTCATGCCTTCTGTACTTTTAAAGTTAATAGAAAAACATCAGTAGAATTGTTGAAAGAGGTGCTTTTGCGAGTTCACAGAGAAAAATCTGTTACCTGTGGAAGCAGAAAGCTCCAGTTACTCAAAATTAACTTGTTTGGAGAATCTTAAAACAGCAGTGTTTTCTTTGGGTTTGTTTGTTTGTTTGTTTTAAAGCTCTGAGGATTGCTAGTGTGAAAGAAATGAGATTTTTGATTTTTCACTAAATATTTGTCTGAATAAAAATTTAATAGCTCCATATTTTGTTTCAGTTTTATAAGGGGATAATTCAGTCTTCAAAGATTAAAATTTTTTGTTTTCAATTGGAAGCTGTCTGAACAGATGAAGTACATTGGAGACATTGAATTAAAAAATAAATGGGAGTGGGATGTTGGAATCCTAATGTCTTTTGGGTGAATTGTGTTGCAGATAGTTAATTAGTTGCAATTTCATTTGTACAGTTGCAGCCTTGATTCTGCTATTGTGATCCTGCACAATCTCATGTGGATAGCAGTCTTTCAGAGTAGGGTTTTAATGAGTTCGAGTCCTGGAATGTGCCAGAGGAATCAGGGTAATGTTTTGGTCACTTAGTCTGATATTTACAACATCCCCTCTTGCAATAAGATTTAATTATAATTTTTTAAAGAAGGTTGAATTTTGGAGCTGCAGTTTCATAACCTGAATGTATCTGTGTAAATTTTCCATAGAATTACTAAGGCCAACTGAAGAATCCCTTGGCCACAAAAAAAATCTGATGTTTTAAAAGATTAAATGATTTAAATGATCGTTCCTGCCATAAATTTAACTTGTTTGCAGTCATAAGTTTCTTATGTTAATCATGGAAAAACAAAGGTTTTGTTCTTTGCTTTTTTTTTTTTTTTAAGTTGACTGCTGATATCAAGTTTATACCATCTGTGTTTTTTAAGTATAGAATGTCTTGTCTTAGAGATACCAAGTTCTTTCTCTTTCCAAAAGACTCTGAGTCAAACCTGTGCAGAAAGATGGTGAAAGGAAAACTGCTAATTTTGGAAACTTGAAGTAAGAACTCCATGTGTTTTCTATCAAACCAACAGTACTTTTATTTTTGTGCAACCCAGGTCAGGTTAAAAGACTCTCTTGTCAGCTCCCTTCAGTTCTGTAAAGCCAAGGATGCTGAGTTGGCTTGGATAGATGGTGTCCTGGACATGAGAGTTTCAAAAGTGGATACTGGAGTTATTTTGGAAGAGGGAGAGCTGAGGGAAGATGAAGACCTAGAGATGCAAGTGGATATGCCTTCTTCAGACTCCAGTGTCATCGCACAACAAAAAGCCATGAAAAGCCTCTTTGGTGATGACGATAAGGAGATGTGCGAGGAGAGTGAGATCATTCCTACTTTGGAACCTCTGCCACCTCATGAGGTATAGAAACTTCCCTGATTTCTTTCTAGTACTTAGAGGTTGATAGTTATGATCTTATTCAAATGAAAGTCTAACTTTTTTCATGTTTGGTTTTCTTTTAGTTAAGCCTGCTACTGCTCTTTCAGATTTTAAGCTTTTCAATAAGGATGATCTGTTGCATTCACAAACAGTGCCTAGCACGCAGTTACCAACTATCTGTGAATGAGATCTTAATGTTTCGTATTTGTAATTAGTACTTGTGGATTTGTAAATCAGTTACTTATTCACTCTTGAGTCTTGTTCTGTTTTGTTGATACTATAGGAATTACTTCATATACTTGAGCAGAAATACATGTCTTGGAAATTCATACACCTCTGCCTCTAGTAGTGATCTGAGTTCATTAATTTAATCTCTTTACCTTATTCTTTACTCTGAAATGAAAATGATTGCTTGTGTGAATAGATATTATTTCATTTTTCAGTGAATGATTAATATAGCTCCTAATCCTAGAATTACAATACTGTTTTACAGTCCTGAATGTAGTCTGTTTCAGGGGCTAGATAAAAGTGGAGACAGCTCTAAAGTCTCTTCATACTTCTGTGACAGTTGTCATGGATCTGTAGTGATCAGCAGTGCAGCTTACTGCAGCTCTGTCCCTGGTTGTAACGTGTCTCAGAAGGGATCTTCAAGGGCAGTTTTCTATGCAATATATGAGTGCAGAAAGAAATCCTTTATTTACTTGACAAGTAATTTCTATGCTATCCTGTCCTGGAAACATCTTGCTGCAAGTAGACAGAAATACAACCTGCTCAGTTATAGTCCCCCAGCCTGTCCATAGGCCATGCTGTTGCCAACACAATGATGAGGAGATATTTGGAAAAATGGAAGACAACAAGTAGCACAAATATTAAATTTTTGTATGTTGTTTAAAGGTTCTTGGTCACCAGTCTGTGTTTATGAATGAGCCAAGACTATCAGACTTCAAGCAAGTTCTATTGCGAGAAGGTATACAAGCTGAATTTGTAGGAGGAGTGCTTGTTTGCAACAATCTGGTGGCTGTTCGCAGGGTAGGTGTTCTGTATCTTAAACTCTTTGGTAAATAATATTGTAAATGCAAATTAAATTTCTTGATAGTGTAAAGATAATAAACTGAAAAATGTCTTTTGTTTCAGACTGAAACAGGGCGCATCGGATTGGAAGGCTGTCTCTGTCAAGACTTCTATAGAATAAGAGACCTTTTATACAAGCAATATGCTATCGTCTAAAGGAGGTTCTGCAAAGGTGTTTTTACTTGAACTTGTAAAGATGACGAGGAGTTCTCTCAGTTTTGACTTTTTGTAGTTTTCTAATTTATACAAGGGAGAAGTAATTCATAAAGAATAGGTAAACTACCCTGAACATGTAAATAACTGCTACTGTCACTCTTCATAAACTTATTGGTACATTCCATGTTCTTGACTCTCAAACTGTTATGACTTGCCATCTCCTACGTAGTACATTCTAAATGAGTTTATGGCTATGAACTGTTCCTCAGGAAAGGTTCACATTGACAGGACATGTTCTGGTTTGATAGATTCCCTGCCAAAGAGTACGAAGTCATTCTTCTATTCTAAAATAAGATTAAACATGGAACTGTTTTTTGTCCATTTTGGAAGAGGCTTGAGTCCTTTTTTGTTTGTTTGTTTTAAATTGAGTGTAAGTGGGCTATTAAAAACATAACTAGAGTTGACTACCTGAATATTCCCCCGGTGTTCATCTGGCCGTGTCTTAATGTTGTTGCTGTCTGCTCTTACTTGTTTGTTCCAGTACAGCATTTCATATTCTGTATGAAGTATTAATCTGCAGGATCAAAAAATTGCTTTGAACAGGTACATTAAGAAGACTGGAGAAAATTGTCAGGCAGCTTAAAATCTAGTGATTGTGTGCTTCTGAGTAACTTCTGTACAAACTTATTGGATTTGCAATTTCTCGCTTTGCAGAGTTATGCCAACTATAAAATCTTTTGAGTTCTAATTTTAATATTTTCAAAGACTGAAGCCTTTTTCTGTGCACCGCTGTTTGTTCAGAGTGCCATGAACCAAGTTCAAGAAGATCCTTTATCTGGAGATCTGAGTTCATGTGATGTATTTAATGCTTTTGTGCCATGTTTCATACTATTGCACGTTTTGAAAATGGGACTTATTGTAGCTGTTTATGCTGGAAATTGTACTTACTTTTTAGGTGAAGATGAGTACAGTTTTGTGTGGCTGAATTTCTCGGAAATTAATTTATGCATACAAATGGCCTCTTGAGAGTTTCTTTAATTCCATTTTCTTCCATCTGTGAACCACCAGTTTTGGCAGTGGAGGGTCGCCTACTTGTTTTTACATAAAACAGCAAAGTCATATGTGCTCTCTGTGTATACGTTTAAATAACATCTTTGGACAAAGTGGCAAAAAAAAAAAAAAAAAGCCCTGTGGGCTTTTAATGGTAAGATAATTTACCTTGCAATTCATTTTTGACTAATAGTTTATCTGATCTACAGATGATTTATACTGTTTAAAATAGTAACTTGAAATTGAAGTCCATGCTTAACAAAACAAAAAAATCAACCAAGCTGCTAGAACTAGATACTAAAAATGTAAAACACTTGAAAATGTAATGCAAAGTGAGAATGTGTTTTGTTACAGGCAATAATCTTGGCTAGTAATGACTAAACAGCTCAACGCTTCTTTGGCAACAGTGTATAAAAAAGGTTTATTTTCTGTTACATTGACAACTAGAACTTCTTAGAAATGCTCTGGTTTTGTAGCTGTTTTGGAGCAGTGCTGTGTAAATCTTTATGATACTGGGTGCTTGCTGGTGAATACTATTGTATTACCGTTGTTGATACTAATGAACTTTATAAAGTGCATTCCTTTTTACATAATTGTATTGGCCTTAGAGCTTTTAACTTGGAGGCTTGGGGAGGGCAGAGATCACGTAAGGTGGTATGAAATATTGAAATAAAATTTTAAAATCTTTAGGAAATGGAACTAAAAAAAAAATGCTGTTCTTAAAAAGGGGGAAAGACAAGACAGCATGATCACAAAACTTTCAATCTTTTTTTTTCATAACTTACTGTTTCAAATTCAGTTAAGTTTAACAAATGTTAGTGTTATTAATTGCTAAACCTCCATGTGTCCTGTTAAAGGACAAAGTAGCATCATTGCTGAAGAATAAAGCTCAAGTATGAGCATAGCAGCTAATTATTCTGCATTAGTCTATTCTGCTTGAAATAGTCTGGTATGAAATGAGACCTAGGAAGCTGATGTGCAGGACAACAGGAGTTGTCTGAGCTCTGGGACAGGAGAAGGCTGGATTTGTGGGCTGGTGAGTGGGAGGAAGGGGAAGTACAGGACATCTGTAGTAACATCACAGGCTGCAGCTGTGCTGTGAGGAAGGTGTGCTCTTTGGCTACACATTCCTTACTTGGAGGCACTGTGGAACCGAAACAAATTCCTGTGAATGCTACCTAGTCTTCCAACAGCTTTCTGATAGATTATTATTATTTTGTTGGTTTGAACTGTGATTTATTTTAAACAAGAATTGAACTTCTCTGTCTTAATTTTCAGTTACCAGTCTGGTTCTTGCTTGTCACTGAAATGAAATTAATTTCTGCTCACATCCAAAAAATGTTTGTGCTGCCATGGGCTGTAAGCTCCTGCATTTGCTCCTGCATTTGCTCCTGCATTTGCTCCTGCATTTGCTCCTGCATTTGCTCCTGCATTTGCTCCTGCATTTGCTCCATAACACCTACAATTTAATAGGGAGTACTATTCCTAACTTTTTTCTCTGTTGTGCTTGAGGGCAAGAACATTAACTTCAATTCAAACCTAGCTTTGGTACTTATGACCATTTTAAAAATACATCCTTCCAAGGGTCTTGAATAATTCAGATTCCAAAGCTGTGTTGACACACAGGAAAGGCTGACACTTGCTGTACCCCACCATCACATTTTGTAGTATTTGTGGGTAAATCTTAATTTTCATATTCTTTTCTTCCTGTTCCTATACTACCTTTTAATTGCAGTCAAGCACTGCTTATTTTGGAATAAACAAGCAAGGAGATGCCCTACAACGCCATTCCCTCCCCCCAAGTAATTATTATAGATGGTTCTATCCCAAAACACATTGTGCAGAATCAAGATTGCTTTAGTAAGGCATGACACACATTAGTATTTCAGTTGGGAAAGTGGAGTGTGTTGCTTGGGGAAAACACTGCAACCACTAACACTTTCAGAGACTTCAGCAAAAGAAATTTTAATGTAATGATCTGAAAAATGGTACAGTGTTCTGTTTCATGGATGTTACATGTTTTTGTAGTTTTAAAAAGTTGGTGGTGATGAAGATGATCAACAGTCAAATCTGCTATCCAGTAAACAATTTTAGGTCTTGATCTGAAAACTGTGTAAGGAACTGATGGAAGTTAAAAATCCATTGAAATTTATTTTTTAAAACACTTGATTTTTAAAAATACTTCAACCGGTTTTAGAACTTATCCTCTGAGACTTTCTGATTGTTATGACTCAAGGAGCAAAAAGTGCATCAGTAATACTCACTTGGTAAATGCAACTTGCTGTCGCATGCCTTTTTTGCTGTAAATGCAGACCAGGATAGTTAGCTAAGTCAATGTGAGCAGCACTAGTCTTAAAAAAAATAAAAATACTTTTGAGGTCTGAAATACTTGCTTAATGTAGAAGGAAAATAGAGAAGCAATATTTTAAATACCCATTAATTGACAAGTATTTTGTCTTACATGTAGATAGAATGTGAAAGCTTGATAAATATGGGAGGTATGGGAGAACTATATTGTTTCATGCCATGTGCTGTAAATTATATTCTCCTTGCTAGGTTATATATTACCACTGTGATACAAAGTAAAATAAATTACAGCATTTCTGTAGAAGAACGTAGTAGAACTTCCAATAAGCCACAGATCTGTTTTCCTTGAAAAGAAGGGTCCGTAGAAGCTCAAAACGTTACAAACAAGCTAGTTCAGCATTTGAGCTGTAAGCAGTAATAACCTGCCTGTTGTTGCATAATCCTCTTAGGTGATGCAAGCTGGATTTGTGGTTCAGCAGCTGAATGATAATGAGCTAAGCATCTGCCAAAAAGCATAGTCTGTCACTGCAGGCTGGTATTCACAAATTTTAGTAATGAGCGCAGAGTTGATTTCAATAGCATACTTGTTTTCTCAGATATTACTCATTTTCAGTGCAGGTTTTCTGAAGTGCTGCAAACCTCTCCAAGAGGTATTTCTGTGGGAGTTCCAAACAATTTTGGAAAGATGGTAGTTTCAGTTTAAAAACAACAAACAAACAAACAAAAAAAAAACCAACGCATTTCTGTCTGATGCAGCCCAAGGTTGGTAGCAGTATCCTAAAATTGGGTTTGGAGAATTGCATAAGAAAATCAAAGGGGACGGTTTTTCATGTGGTAGTGGCTATGGCGCCCTTGCTGATATTTAAGGTGAGGTAAATAAAGCCTTGTATTTATTGTCAAAAAGCAAAGGCATAACTTCTGCAGCAAATGAACTATTCCATCTCCAGCGTGGAAAGGATTTTTTTTAGATACAATTGCAATTATTTCCTTTGTGGCTAATCAGATGTTAGAAATATTTAAGGTGTCAAGTTACAAAGACTTAACTTTAAAACACATATATTAAGTGAGAGCTAGCTCTTGGAGTGTTCAGTTTCTTATGGATGACATCTTTGTTGGTACCTTCTCAGAGTTGTCATTTAACTCAGTTGGCCTTTCTGCGAGGAGCCTGGAGTAGTTGTCTCACCAGGTCTAAACCGTAAAATTGTGACGCCCAGCACAGTGACTTCCTTGGCTGGTTTACAGCTATGTAAATCAGAACAAAAACATGATCTAGCGTGAGCCAGCTTAAGTCGCTGAAAACGTGTCCTGCTAAGAAAAAAAATGTTTAATAGCTGAGAAATTGAAAGCTAAATTTTTATTAGGGCTTGTTTAAAGTTGTAGTTTTATGGAATGCCATTGCAGGTATTCTAATCTGCAGAAACTGCTGCTTCCTCTCATGATGTCTCTAGTTTAGCAGGAAGAACAATCAGCTGCAGGAGTTCCTAGTCAGGTTTCAGCGATAATACTTTCCTTGAAAAGTATTTTACAGTATTTGCCTCAAAGTTGATCTTTCTCTCCCCCCCCCCCCCCCTCTAAATCCAACCAGATAAGCTCGATAGCGTGTGCATCTCAGTGTTACTTGCAGTGTTTCTTAGAAATAATTCTGAAGAAGGGTGGGTAATCTCTTGTTATCTTTAGTAATACTCAAGTGGTTTAGAAAAATTGCACAAAGGATTTTGAAAGATTTTTGAAATAAATTGAATGTAGATAGAACTTGGTCGTCCATAGCACTCAGTAATTGTCACCTGTTTCTTTCCTCTATCAGTTAAGATGCAGTGGTAGAAAACAAGCCTTTAAGGGTCACTTTCTGATGACATTGTACAATGAGCTATTCAAGTTTTTTTTTTTTTTTTTTTTTTTTTTAAAAAAAAAACAAACAACAGAGTTTAGCTAACTGGTCTGCTACAGATGCTTCAGGATGTGAACCTGAAAATGTTTTCATGATACAGATTCTCTTAAAAAAGTGGGAGATAGAACATATGACAACATTGCCACCTATTTTGCAATTTTATTGCATGCCTGGGGCAACGGTTGTAGCTTATCCAAGTAATTGTTTTTATTAGGACAATGTTGGCATCTTCTCCTGTTTCCAAGGAATGTGTTAATTCCTTGAGGTGGGGAACCCTGAGCATGGTGTGATCAATACTTGATACGTTTTGCTGCTCCTGAAGAAGCAGCACAGCTGGCGGAGCATATTGCCCGTCACCATGCCAGGCTTGGCACTTGAAAGTCCGCCAGATTGCTTCGTGCTGTTGGGCTAGCCACGGATCTATCGGCAGTGTGCAACGGCACGAAGGTAACAGGCATTTCGTTTTTTGCCTTGTGTAGGATCACAAGAGTTAATATTGCATTTGAAGAGAGTCCAGCCTACTTTGTGAACCTAGTAGGTATTTGCATTGCATTACTTGCTTAGGCCAGCCTCCATGCTGCAAGAATCTATAGATAAATTCTGGTTTTGATGTATTCTGGAAAAATATTCTGTTAACATCAAGGTTTGGAGTCACTCTGTATAGCCAGCTTTTCATGTTTTATGTAATTTTCTTATGCTTCAGTATTTCTTTCATAATCTCCCTGATTTTACTAATGCACAATATTGCAAATGCAGTATAAAACTAGTCAACAGACTTTAAATCATTTGTGTATCTCTAAACCTCTTATGCTGATTAAAAGTGTTAAGGCTATTAGTATTTTTTATGTAACTGGGTCTAAATTTAGTTTGTTAGAGTCAAAAACCACTCTGGTATTGCAAGCCATGATCCTAATCTGCTTCCTGGGAGTTGATGGCAACAGTTCTTCAGTTCAGCTTCTGTGTCTGTGAATCGATGAGTTGAGCAGTTAACATCGTGTTTGTCAAAGAAATTCATAGCGACTTTTCATAGTTCGCGTTTCTCTTCCAGAAGTGTCAAAATACTACTTTTGCTCTTGTATGAAATGGCATTTTAATTACTTCTTGTACTGTTTTCATTAGTTCTCGATGTTTTTGAAATGTGCTCTGAGTTTCGCTGTGCCCATAGGCTATTGCTGGGAGGAGGGGACTGCTGAAATTTTAGCTTGCGTTAAATTCTTCTGGTTCTTGTACAGAGCACACAAAGAAAACAAAATGCTATACGGGAAAAATTAGAAATTGTGTATAGTCCATACCTTCCAAACCTAATAGCTGAAAAGTATCAGAATGGCAGCCTCATCCTCTGAAAGTACACTTGTTTGTTCATTCTGTGTAGCCTGTTTGTACTGTTTTAACAGCTTAATTATAATTAGATTGCTTTTTACATAATGCCATCATAAATTAATGACCTTATTTCCTTTAATATTGTGTGTTGCCTTTGGTCAGTCAAGTTCTGTGGTACTAATAGCAAGTTCTATGTGTATGAGGAATTGCTGTAAAAAGCCAGCTTAAAAAATAAATAAATCTGTATTGGTAATCGAGATATTAAAATGTGTAGTGAAGTAAGTGGTCAGCTTTATGTTCAAGGCAACCATCAGAAAGATTGAATATTTGACTAGTAGTCTTGCTGCTACTTATATATATGAGTGCCTTTAAGCTGGTATACAGAAATGAGTTATTCACAGAATTGCTTTTAATACAAAATTCAAGCTTATTTCTTTAATGCATGTGTGTATGATACCAGAAACAGCTAGAGGCAGCACGGTGTAAGCTGTATATACAAGAGTTAACAGTTGTATATCTAACAGTACACAACTTGAGTGCTTCACACTGCTGGTAATTTCACTCCTACATTTGCAAGACTATTCAGCCGATTGTTTTTTAAGAAAGAAATAGTTTCCAAATTATATAGTTATTTCTTTGATCTGTGAATGGAATTTTTCTTTGGTTGTCAGAACGTGTGCTCTAACAATTTTGAAATTGTTTTTGAAATAAGCTTCCTAGCTACTGGGGGAAGAGTTTTTCCTTAAAGTTGAGCAGCTTAAAGAAAGTAAGCATCTCCTTGAGGCTGGGGAAGGATATTTGCCTTGGTGCTCTTGGTTTGGAAGTAAGGTATAGATGTGGTGAACAAAGAGCCCTAGACAGTGTAGAAGGTAAGGAGAAATGACCAAAACTAATGACTTTTCAAGGGAGACGATGTTTTGCTTTGCTTGAGAGGGCTATGTATGTCTTGCCAACTCTTATCTATAAGTTAGGCATGGGTTTAAGGTTTGGGAGGGGAGACTTTTACTGGAAGATCTTTCAGTGTCTGCAAGCCTATCAGCTCAGGAGAAAAGCATGGTGTATTATGCTTTCCTACAAGACTTGTTGGACTAAGATATTTACTCTTTTATCTGCTGCATATGCTTTTTTTCATTAACTCTTGATAATAGCATTCTGTCACTTAATAATTCATTAGGTTGTTCAACCACTTGCAGTGTGATTAAAAATTTCCCTTAATTCCAGATTTCATATATAGTTGAGCTCCTAGATAATGAAAAATGCTGAAAAATTTTCCTTATATTAAGTGACTTTTCATGATGATGATCAGCCTTTTTTGAAAATCCTTGAGCTTCCTAAATTTGTTTAAAACAATAATAATTTCTTTAATGTATACTTCAGTAAACCTTAATTTCTTGTTGCGAGTGTTCTGCCATATTTTCTGTGTATTGTAGCTCTAAAATGGTAGATACATGGGTATTGCACTTTGGAAGTCTGCTGTCTACTTGTGTTTGTGCAAATGTAAAATCTCTCCCATCATCACTGCAGCTGCACCTTACTGCGCAGAGCTTTGACTTGCTTTCTGTCACTGATAAGAACTACTAAAGTGCAGTGCTGGTTTAGTTATTTGGAAAACTGTCAAGTGAGCTGCTTGTCTGTGATTCCAAGATCACTTTTGTCATTGCCTAGCTAATTCATAGCCCTGGAAGTGGTGACTAGCTCAGGACTCTGTGTGAACAGGTGAGAATTGGTGAGCAAGGCATCTTTAACTGTCTAGTATGGTTGGACAAGTCTGCACCAGCAGAATGGTGGTGCCTCAAGGAAGACACGAGGGAAAAGAGGGAACTGGTGAAGATGGGCAGATCCCAATTTGATTGTCTAATTATGCTTATGTAGCATCTGCAGAAGAATTATTTTCTGGATCACCAGTTTTACGCTATTTGTGATTTATGTTTATAACACGCAGTGTAATTATCTCCTGCAGCACAGAGTGTTTTCTGTGTTGCATCTGTACAAGTCTTCTACTCTTTGATCTGCTACAGTGCTTGGGAGAAGAGAAATTACTCTTTTACTAACACAGGTATGTCATTTAGTTGAATAGGAGCCTAGTGTTCCTATGCTACCTATGGAAACTGGAGGATGTGTTTCAAAACACGAGAACCTGATGGTCTTTGCTCTGTATCCACTGGGTATCTTGCACCAGGTCCTGAGATCTTTGCACAATTCTCCCCCTTTAGGAGTGTCTGTTCACTGGTTGTTCACTGGTGGGATACAATGGATGAGTGGTGCTTTTGTATAGTAGAGGGACTAAGCTTGAGAGAAGAGTATATTAAAGCAGTACGCTTTATTTTTTTTATCCCAGTTTACAAGCCCATATATTCCGACTTTGTCAGGCACCTCAGTGAGTATTTGCAGGACACTGAGCAGCTACCCAAGACTTCTATAAAGCCTTTTACTCAGCAAACGATGCTTTGTTGTTTCTGCTTTGCTAGGCTTTTCAGCTTGTGGAAATGGCAGTTCTGAAATCAGGTGTAAATTAGGATGTATAGAGTCAGTAGCTCGGAGGGCTTGGTGGTTATGTCCCTAAACTTGTAGGGTATAGACTGCTGAATGAGAGAAGTTGCTGTTCTTCAGGTAAATGTGAATGCCTGTACGTGACTTGGCTGTACTGTATTTGAATTCTTCGCTCCAATGGGATCTCTTAGGTTAATGGAAGTTACATGACTCTGCATTGCTGCTTATTCCTTAACCTTGTCTGATAAAACTAGTAGAAATCATGGAATAAACATCCCTGTGATCTAGTCAGAAAATCTCTTGCATAGAAGTCATGAAAGATTGTGTTGTGCCATGTTTGAACCATGAATTTTACTCCTAGAACATAACTGAGGGGAAAAAAGCTATTGCTTTCTGTCTTGCTTCTGATGAAATGACATTCAGAACTGCTAAAACCAAGTCTTTTCAGAACATTGCATTCCTAGCGATAATGTGGAATTTTCTTTAGCTGTCTTGAATGATAAAAACATCAAGGATGTTACAGATTTTTGAGTACTCTTTGTCATATCCAGTAGCTATAAAAATAATTTATTTCACAATTCTCTTTGCTAGTTACTATTAGCCACATCAGTAAAGAATATTGTAGAAGACATTGTAGTTGGAGATGAAAAGTAATTTCTCTTGCTGCAGTCAGATGAAATTAGAAAAGAAGAGATGTTTGCACAGAAATTCTTCTATGTTTAAAAAGAAATTCCAATACAAATGACTGCATGTTCAAGTCACTGCTTCAAATAAAATATTGGCAATTATTTTGTGTTTGTTGAAGACATTCACACACCTTCTGTTAATTTTTTTTTTTAATTTCTGTCTGTACTTAATGAAAAACTGTATATGCTGGAACTTAATTTCAGTTTACTGAAGGCAGATGTGCATGTCAGCATAATGAGCATTATTTAAAGATCTTTAAGGAGACAAGTGATTTGTATAGTGAGGTTATTTTTAGAAGGTCAACTTTAAAGGCAGGTTGATTTAATATTCCTGAAGCTTTGTTGGCATGATCTGTGCAACCTTTCTAATACTTACCATTTTTTTAGAAGTGTGATTAAGTAAATATGTACTACAATAACACAAAAGAGTTAGCTGCTGATTGTAACAGTTCAAATGACTAGACCTTTATATCACCAGTTACCTAATGTGAAGTTTATG